ATCGAAACCGGAACCCTTCAGTCCGTAGGTGGACGCTCTACCCACCAAGCCAAACAGGTTTCAGCTGTAAGTGTAGATTTGATGAAAACTTAATGTTGTAGTAGAAGTCACACCAAAATGGAGCACATGACAGAGGCAGGAATAGGTTTGAATTCCTGTTCTACCCCTTACTGACAGGGGTGACTTTGAACAAGTTCTATAATTCATACCTGGGCTTTCACAGTCTTATCTGTAAAGGGTATCTAATATCCATCATCTGGGCTTACAATCAGGATCAAATGAGATCATGTATGTAAAACATCTACTGTCATGCTTGACATCTAACATGCATTCAATAAGGTTAACGGTTTTTCCACGCTTCCTTCCCATTCAAATGCGAATTAGAGGTCCGCTGAGCGCTGTGCACCAGGGAATATACCAAGCCCTTTGAGGGGGGAGTAGCTCTTATTTGTTTTTACTGCAGATGAAGAAAGTGAACTTATCAAGGTCAGCCAGGAAATTTGCCCAAGGCCACATGGTTAGTAAGCAGCAGATTCAGGGTTCAAGCAAAGATCTGCAAGACTTGATGTGATATCCAGTAACTGATTCAGTGTTGTGAAAGAAAATATAAACTAAAAGACTTGAGAAAAACATAAAAAGCTGTCTACAGACATGTTTATTCTTTCCTATTTATCTTTCATTACTACTCCCAGAAAGAACAAAAAAAGACGAAAGGCCCAACTGTAGTGATGAGTCTCTCAGAAGGCTCATTACCTCTTTTCTGATCATGACATCATTTTTGTAATTGCTGTTGTTGGCATATCTCAATTTCCCTGTGAGGGGGGAAAAACATAATTAAAACACATGACTAAATCATCACTAGCCTACTAACACTATCAGTTGTTGCTTAAAACGTATTCTTACTTTTTAGATATTTACACTTTTAGTGTTTCAACAATACATTTTTTCCAGTTCGTCACTGTAGGCTATTAAATAGTTGCACAACCAAAAAACTACAGCTGATGCTCAATTATAGATCTTGCAAAAGGTGGCTCAGGTATGACAGACGAACACAGGAAGACTCATATTTCTGCAGGATAATGTCCTAAGCTGAAAACAGGGATAGTAGTTGGTAACTTACCTGCACACAAGGTCTGCTGAGGCTCAAATGAGTTATGTAAGCCTTTGAAAAATATAATTTACACACATTATCCTGCGACTGTAAAAATCTGACATATTCCTGTGACAGAAAAGCTGTGGTGTTAGTCCGGGCCGGTGTGGCTCAGTTGGAATGCTATCCCGGGCATCAAAGGGTTTCGTGTTTGATTCCCTAGACGGGGTGGGTACAAGGCAACCAATAGGTGTTCTCTCTCACATCAATGTTTCTCTCTCTAAAATCAATGAACATGTCCTTGGGTGAAGATTGAAAAAAAAGTTGTCGTTTTATCATTTAACACATTTGGTATACGAGGCTCTTTGTGTATCTATGCACTCATCAGCCTATTCTGGGTACGAAGAAGATAAAAGAGCCAAATTAAATGATGCCTCACTGTACTCTTCCCTTTCAGTTCATTCTCCACACAGTGGACAAAGTGATGAATAACAGAAAGATCTGACCAGTTTACTCTAATACTCTGGCACGGGCCATAGCTTCTTGATAAAATCCAAATTCAACATGGCATACTGCTCAACTGAGCCTCTGCCTGCCTTTCCAGGCTCACTCCCGCAACAGCTGTCTCTCACGTCAGACTACAGCAAGTCCTCGGGTGACGTCTGAGATCCGTTCGATTTTCACCATAAGTCAGAACCCACCCACATGAGCACCTACGTCACTCACATGGAGCACATACACACAGTAATGAAGGGAAACAGTAAAAAAAAAAAAAAAAAAAAAGAAAGATAATTTCTGACCTTTACTTGTGAATAAATAAAAAACATAAAGTACATATGTACATAGGTCAAAATGATGGACCTTTTTTTTTTTTAATAAATAAATGGGAGCTGGTGACGTAACCACGTCGAGTCTGATGTAACCGGAGGGCTGTCTGTACTTGGTTTCTGTCTGAAACATCCCATGCACTTTGTGGTTTTCAGCCATTAATGCTGCCCAAAATGTATTCTTAACTCCTGTCTGCCTAAGCAACCCCTACAGTCACTGAAACCCCCCCCCCTTCCCTCATGTTTTGCAGGAAGCCTCCTCTGAACCCTCAGACTAGATGAGGTGCCTTCTGTTTCTTTCGTCCACAGCACCTAACACACTGTCTTGGCACTGTTTACAAGCCTACTTCCTTCACAAACGTGGCTTGTCAGATTCATCTCTGTGCCCCCATTTAGGAGATTTCTGTCATCTTCGATCCCTTTTCCTTCACCACTGTGCCCCCTTCCCTAAATCCTATAACTGACAGTGATATTGGTTCTGCCTTTAACAGTATCCTAAATCCTTCTCTCCACTTTTACTTTCACCCTAGTCCCTACCAACATTCCTTCTTCTGCCTGGACAATTGTTGGCTGTCTCCAAATAAGTAGCCCTGTTTCCACTTTTGCTCATTCTGTACCCGATTACTAGAATATTTTTTTCAAGAACAGATCACACCTCCTCTCTGCTTAAAACTTTTCCATTGCTTCCTGTTGTACTCAGAATAAAATCCAAACTCCTGACCATGGCCTATAAAGACCCACGTGTTGTGACCACAGCCTGCTTATCCCAAATTATCTCCTCCCCTCCTCCCCAGAGCTCATTCCTCTTCAGCCACATTAGCCACTGCAATATGCCTAGCTCACCCCCGCCCTCTGACCTGACACATGTCACCCCCTCTGCCTAGAATGCTCTCTCTGAGCGTCACAAGGCTGGCTCCTTCTTGTCAATCAAGGTTCAGTTCAAATATCCCCTTTTCGGAGAGCTCTCCAACGGTCATCCTATTTAAAACCAGCCCGTCATTTTGTTTTATTTCCTGGCCACTCATCACTAACTGGAATCTCTTGGATGATTTCTCTCCCGGCCCTAGAATAAAAGTTCCACGAGAGAGGAAGCTCGTCCACCGTCCACGTCTGTATCCCAGGTAGCAAGTGACAGAGAACCTGGTACAAAGCGGGCGATCGCTCAATGCTTGCCGAAGCATTCTGGTAAAAAAAAAAAAATGTCACCACAGAAGACCCTGCACCTGGACAAAGAGAACCAGGGGGGCGGACACAGGCGTGCTTCTTACAGATCCGTGCCTTCCTCCAGTTCCCCGCACGGTCCCGGCCGCCCCAGGCCCAGTCCCCGCGCCCGAGACCGCTCTGCTCTCACCGTCCGGCCGGAACTCAAACTCCAGGAACTCGTGCCCGAACTTGCCCTTGTGACCCACGTAGTAACGCAGGTAAAAGTCACTCTCCATGGCTCGCGAAACGCCACCGAGACCGGGCTTTTAACGGCGAGCAGCAGCGCAGTGCGCGCCCGGCAGTGACGTTCAGCGGCGCGCGGAAGTGACGTAAGGCGACGCCGTCGCACTCAGTTCCTCTCGCGCCTGCGCCGGGAGGTGGGGGGGGACAAGGCTGCCCGCCCCTCTCGGTGGAAACGACGCCCCTTTCACAGGGAGGCGGGGTCAGGGGAGCCCGAGGCCACGCCCCTTCAGCCGAAGCAATTACCATGTAGGGGTCAAGGTTACAAGCTGGGGGAGTGCAGAATACCGTGGAATTATGGGAGCACGTGCTGTGGCTCTACCCCAGTCTTCTGAAGGAATGTTCCAGAGAGGGCCCAGGACTGTGTGGTTAGAATACAGAACGAGGCTGTGAAGGTAGTGACCAAAGTCGGGTAAGGAACAGACGCTACGTCATCAGGTTCTTCACAAGTCGTATTAAGAAGCGCAGGCTCAAACCTAAGGGTAATTGGATTTTCATGCAAGGGAAGCAGATGAAGAGCGTTAAACATGACATGACCTATTGCATTTTTGAAAGATCACTCTGGTGGCAGTGTTGCGGATTGGATTGGAAAATGCAAAGATTAGCCCTGCCAGTGTGGCTCAGTGGTTAAGCATCAACCTATGAACCAGGAGATCACGGTTCAATTCTCCGTCAGGGCACATGCCCGGGTTGTGGGCTCCATCCCCAGTGTAGGGCATGCAGGAGGTAACTGATCAAGGATTCTCTCTTGTTGGTGTTTCTATCTCTCCCTCTCCCTCTCTCTCAAAAATCAATAATTTTTTTTATGTGGATGGGTTTGAGATGGAATATCATAATTTAAACGGTGGACAAGGAGATTAAGATGTAGCCAGAGGGGGAGGAAAGGGGAAGTAGGTGTATGGTGCCATGTAAACCAAAATATGAGTATCCCGAGAAAGGAGTACCAACAATGTTAAATATCCCTTCCAAGGTCAAGGAAGATAGGACTAAAAGTATTTACAAGATTTATATAATCAGCCAAAACCAGTTTGGCTCAGTGGATAGAGCGTCGGTTTGTGGACTGGAAGGACCCAGGTTCGATTCCGGTCAAGGGCATGTACATTGGTTGTGGGCACATCCCCGGTAGGGGTTGTGCAGGAGGCAGCTAGTCGATGTTTCTCTCTCATCGATGTTTCTAGCTCTCTATCCCTTCCCCTTCCTCTCTGTAAAAAGTCAATAAAATACATTTTTAAAAAAGACATATAATCAGGGAGGTCCTGGGTGACCTTGGTAAAAGCAACCTCAGTGGCATCGGAGTGAGGAGCAAGGCAGAAGTAGTGGGATACAAGTGGGCCAAACCTGTAATGAGTTAGGTCTGGGTATGAGAATAGAGAATGCTTCCTGAAGTACTCAAGGACAGATGAGTTGCCAGATAGAAGCAGAGAAGGAAAATCTAGGGAGAAGGCCACATGTACATGAGCACCAGGGCAGTTCCTTCACCTGTTTCCTCATCAATAAAATGGGGATTATAATATCGACAGTATTTATCTCAGGACTGTTGACGAAGATTAAGGTAATTTATGTGGAATATTGGTACATGTTAGGGACTCAGTTAATGACCATCACTCTCCCCTCATTAAAGCATCACAATGAAACAATACTTTCAGATTTTAAAAAAGGAATTTTATCTTTCTCTAGAAACAGTGCACTGATTTTACAAATGCCCACATTTGTTTTTTTAGTTCACCAAGATGATGCCAGTACAGCTAGTGAGACGCAACACACCACCCTTTGCCTCTAGAAGAGACGCCAGACTGCAAAGGGGACTGAGTACAGAAGACAATGGCATTTGGAATGATAAGACAAAAAGAGCAGGAATGGTTAGTGTGATCCAACATTCTAACATGCCTGTTACATCAAACATCAAATATGGTAATTTGGGGACGTGTGTGTGGTGTGTGTGTGTGTGTGTGTGTGTGTGTGTGTGTGTGTAGACAAACAGGGAAAATTCATTTGGGTACAATGTCGAGTTTGCGAACCAGTACTTCACCCCCAAATTAACAACAGCTTGTATAGAACAAAATGCTATTTTAAAACACATGGTTTGTACAGGTATTTTTTTTCTTGTAATTTTTGTAAAAAAAAGTATCAAAACCTTCATGTCTTTAAATATATATACATATACAGGTGGCTCTTTTAAAATTATTTTTTTATAGCACAAAGTGTTTGCAAATACAGAGGGTTTCTGCTGATTCCTGGCTATGCACATGGTGCATAGCCTGAATGAATAGGGATTCCTGATTTCTTTTATTAAGTGAAATTTGAAGCTGTAATTCCTCCACCTCTAAGTTCTCCATTTCCTGAAAATCCCCAATACCCTAAAAAATACCATGTAAAAAGACTCCAATACTTTATCTTCATGCATTGATGGGAAAGGAGGTTATATACTCCGAACCGTTTGACTGCTACCCATTTCTATTCTGTGAAATGATGAGTGTATGGCTGACGTTAGGGAGTGAGGTGGGGAGGCTCCATTCCCACCTGCGCCACACTGGACAGCGCTTGGGGTTCCCCCTGCAGACTCCACGTCTTCAAAACTTCCAGTTTTCTTTCTCTCTGTTGAAGAAATCTCAGAGGCTCTTGACAACATGGAATGCTTCTGTGAGAATCCCTCCGCCCTCGTATTAGTTTTCATAGACCATATCAAAAAGCTTCAACTCGAATATATGAAAAACAGTCACTGTTTCTCTTTGGCCACCGGAAAGCCTGAGGCTCAAGACCGCCATGTCTGCAAGTGCTGGCAACGCATCCTGCTGAATTCCCCATGCACTTGGTGCCTCATACACAGTAAGTGACCAAGGAATGTTTGCTTCACTGAACCGGAAGTTAAATAGAAGTGTTCTATAAAGTGCTTATATTGAACCTGTCTTTCCATCCAGCTCGTTTCTTGCTACGTCCCCCTTGAGCTTTTTGCTCGTTATAATGAATTGCATGCAGTTCATTGAAGTCCCCATGCTGTTTCATGCCTCGGTGTCTTAGCTGTGTTTCTTCTGCCTGAAGCAGCCTGACATCCCTACTTAGTTTGTAAGACTTAGCTTCAGGTCACTTCTCCTGTGGTGGCTTTCTTGACCCCATTCCTTATCTCCTTCGGTAGAAGTGACCACGTTGTGTCATAACATTGTTCTGAAAAGAATCTTTTCTTTTTTGTTTGTTTGTTTCCACATGTCTTCCTCTACTACTACTGTGAGCTCCGTAAGGAGAGAAAATGTTTGATTGACCTGTGCTTCTGCAGTGCCTGACAAATGGTTTCAGTGAATGCACATATTGCAATCTCAAAGAGAGACTTGGAGGGATCCATAGTGCTTATTGCCATAAATTTAAATCCAATCTCATCCTGAGGTTACACGTTAACTCAATCTATTTTTTAAATAATCATGCTGTCAAAAGTAAATAAATGAAATTTACTTTTCCCTGTTTCTGGAAGGCCATTTCTGCCAGTGCCTTCATAGTCCCATTGGGACGATAGGTAGCAGGTTTGGTGCAGTGTTCAGGCAGTGCAAAGTAGTCAACTGGAGAAAGGGAAGAAAAGGACCTGGGCCAGTTTCTTTTAAATAGAGAAAAACTGATACATGTTCTGCCCTCCTGGTGCTTCTAAGCTTCCTCCAGCTCTATGTCCAATGCCTCTGACCTGTTCTTGACTGTTGATATATGATGGCATAGGGGCAAAAAGCAACAGAAATGCAACTCATCCTCAGAATGAGGCTTAAAGCCTTCAGGACGAGAAGATGGATTTGAGTCCTCGGATTTCATCTACTTGACTACCATTCCAACACGTGAGTGTTCCACAGTTTTGTTTTTTGTACGTTGCTCCCATAGCTGCCTCTTTCAAACTGCAGTTGTAGCATATTCAGAAAACATGGGTGTCTCTGAGAAAGTTGTGTTTCATCATCATTTTGAGATATCAGGCTGAATCATCCTGATCCCATTCATTATTTTTTTCTGTGAAGGCCAGATTCTGACTGAAAGTCTAGATATTATGCATTAGACTCTATTATAATTAAAAATCTTCAGAGGCAGGTTACAGAAAAAGTTATTTGTTTTGTGTAAATTTCAATGATTTTTCATTTTCATAGTTTTTCTTCGGTCAAAAACTATTTTACTTTTTATTCTTGAAAGAATAGTAATAAGTGATTAAGCTCCATAGGAGTTGGCCGGATGTTTTTAAAATTCTATTTGGTAATGGTCATTCTAAGTCAATGCATTTTTCCCTCTGAATGGATGTTTCAGAACTATCAGCACATACATATCATGAGGAAATTGCTTGTTTATGCAAAGCATAGTGCCCAAGCTCCAGAATATGGTTGTTTTCTATTTAAAAAATAGAAAGAAAGGTCCTAGGAATAGGCTGACAGAACTCCAGAATGTCTGTCTGGAAACTCAAAGGGTAGCAAGGGGCGAGACAACCACGCATCACTGAGTTGGGGGCAACTGGGAAGTAGGGGAGAGGAATTTGCTTACAGGGGTCAAGTTCCAGGTATGTGGAGGTTAGGAACTTGTCCTCTGCTCTTACTGAAGCCATACACTCTGTTTGTCCGGTCCCTGGTTGTCCGGTGGGAATACAGTGGTAGAACAGCAGAGTTAAGACCTTGGACGATAGAGCCAGCGGGGACTGAATTCCTTCTGGGACTGTTGGATTGTTTTCGGCGGGAGAACCCACAAAGAGAGACACTTCTCCCCTTCTCCCCACGGCCCAGGAGAGGCAAAGAAAGTGTCCATGGTGAAAAAAATCTGTAGATATACCTAGAGTTTTTCCCTTTATTTACAAAGTAGTAAACCAAATTTCTGCGTGAACATACATCCGGTGTACTATAATATTGCGTATGCCATTTCCCCCTCAAATAGGACTTTAGGCTTGGCCACTTTTACCGCCTTAAGCCCCAAATTAGTTTCATCGATGCAAACACGTGATGGCAACAAACCTACGTATTACTCTTCCCCACCTGAAGGAAATGGGAGCGTAAGAGGAAGGGAGAGATGGAGATGTAACAAAACCTATTCCACCATCTTTATCCAGGGGTTCTGTGCCTAACTAAGCCAGGCCCTAGAGTAAACTTGGCCTGTTCCGGAGACATCTCCACTTAGCTCTCTATACGTAAGGTATTCAACCTCAATGAATTCAACCCAAGTGTCCTAAAGAAAAATGAAGTTACTTGAAATGCTGAACTTGAAAACAAGGAGTAGCCAAGGTTCAGACGTGCTCTCACCTGAGCTCACGAGGACTTCTGGCACTGTGTACAGTCTGTGTGCTGGCCTTAGCCACGCCAGAGGAAGCCCAGGTGGGAGTCCCAGCAGTGAGCTGAAGGGCTTTTCCTGAGTCTGGTCTCAGGAATAGCCAGAGGTGGGGAGGGTCTGCGTCTGCTGCTACATGTTCGCACACACCATGGCATCCGTTTTCTGAGCCAGATTTCCAAAGGCTAATTTCCTGAAAACTCCAGATACGCTCTTGTGGACTGGCTTAAGATATATCTATCTTTATGTACTCGAACAACAGCCATAGGCGCGCCTCTTCTCTAGTTTTCTCTCGCACACACATGCAGGCAAACACAGATGCACACAGAGTCTGTGTGGTGGGCCAATCATACCAAAAATAAATACTCTCATGTCTCTGAATTATTTATAGAACTAACTAATCTTATTTATGAAGTTTGTTAATAAATAATCTAAATTGGGGAGGGAGTTGAGGTGTTTAATGTTGATGGATAGCCACAAAGCATAATCATTTTATTTACAAAAAAAAAAACAAAACCCCAAAACTCCAAAACCTAAAAAAGCCCCCCCAAAAATCAAATACTCTCTCTGTAAATATAGTTTTTAAATGATGAGTAAGCTACTGTACCATCGGCCCCGTTTGGTTATGTACATCTTGTTAGTCACTCAGCAGTAGCCATTCCATGAATTCCTCATGGGTAGTGCAACCAGTTAAAAAGTGTATAAAACATTATACATATAAAAACTCTCACATCCTTTGGATGTTTGCAGTTCATCATAACTTTGTGGTTACCTTTCTGCAACATAAATTAAAATGACACACGCACACACAGACACGCACACGCTCACACAGACCCATACAGAAATCCTTCCATCCAGGCATACACCATCCAGAGAGTGGAGTGCATGGAACTGAATTCCGTGAGGCATGAAGGGAGTGGTCCCATCCTTAGGGCAGTCCATCATCTTCAAGGCTTAATGCCACTCGCTGGGGAGACACAAAGAAATCATCATTAGAACCACAGGGATTTTTTTATTGAATATATGCCTAAGGAACCAGACATTCTAGTGCTTTTCAGGCATTAACTCAGATAACCTCCAAACTACCCTAGGAGACAGCTTTCTCATTTATTTTACAGATGAGACAGTTGAGACTTAATGAGCTTAAACATCTGTCCTGGATCACGTAGCAAGTGGGAGAACTAAAATTTGAGCCCAAATCTGTGTGAATCCAGAGCGTTAACTTTCCCCATTAGTCTGTTCTGCCTCTTTGTCTAAACCTCCTCAAGCCTTTCTTACAGGGTTTTAGGTTCGCATATGTCTTGGGTTTGTTTTGGCGAATGTTTGACCTCAGGTCGTTAGCTGCTTGGCTCACAGTCAGGAAGGCAATCTGCTGCACCCCTCACAACTGATTACCCAGCATTGGAAGGCAATGCAGGTCAATGAAACTCAATACCGCTTTCCTTCACCCCTACTTTCTAATCATTGGCTGCTAGACTTCCGTCTGTGGCAAACGCCTGACCACTGGATGGTGAACCTACTCATCCCCGAGCCAGCCTGTTCCATTGTGGACAGTGGACTTAAATGCTCTCCTATACTGACATGAAATCTGTTTATCTTCTGACGTCCCCTGATTCTCTGCTAGACGCAGACAGTTCTACAGAGACAACACTTGAAATCTGCTGAGTGTTGGAGTTCCCTTCCTTTGGAATGTTGTCCTCTCCAGCCACACATCTAGCTTTCCCCCGCTGGTCCTGGTGTAATCCTGTTTCCCACTCATCCTTGTCCTGGACACCCTCCTTCGGATACACCCGTGTTTCAGTGTCTTCTCTGCGCTATGTGAATTTGGGCTAACCACTTCACCTCTCTGAGCCTTGGTTTCACCATCTGTCAAATGGGAATAATAATAGGGCCTGCCTTCTAGGGCTGTTGGGAAATCAAATGAGATAATGCATGTAGAGTGCTTAATATATTACTTAACACACACACAGGGTCCAGAGTCTTCCAGATCAACCTAACCAGCATGAGACACAACCAGACTAGCATGTTCCATCTCTGGACATTCTACATGCAATAAAAGGTTAACTCTACCGCCTTTCAAATCATCTTTTGGTTGTTTGTAGTTTTGCATGAATGCCTTGACCTTGCTCCACTAGCATCGATATTTGAGAGCACCTTTTTCTAAGCCAGTTACCCTCCCACTCTCTCCAGGCAGATCTCCAGGCTGGGGACAGGCCCCAAGAAGTGCTAAGGGAACTCCTGAGAAAGGGACAGGGGAGAGAACAGGTGGTTGAGAATACTGGCTTCCAGAACACCAAGGCTATTTACCCCATGTTAGAGGGGAAAGAGCATGGGTGTTTGTGTATGTACAGGCTGGAGTTCAAATCCTGGTCCTACCACTTCCTAGTTGCGATCCTAGGTGTAATTTATTTTTTGAGTCTCAGTTTCCTCATCTGCAAAATGGGGATAATAATATTAACCTTATAAGGTTACTATAAAGACCAAACAAGAAAATGTATGTAAAACACTGAGTGGTGCCTGAGACATAGTAGGTTATCACTAAATGTTGATTTCCTCACACTCCTACTCCATTTCTCTGAAACTGGCAGGAGGTCATTCCTCGGGTCTAGATTCCTCAGGAACAGATCCTCCTGAACGGTTATTTCTGCTCTGGAAACAATGCTTAATAACTCACAAAGCACTGGCGCATGTGCTGTCTCACTTGAACTTTATAACCCTAGGAGGCAGGTAGAAGGAGGATTACTGGTGCCATTTTATAAATAAAAGTGAGCAGAGACGTGACTCAGATCACGGGGTTGTGGAATAGTGAAACTGGGAATCATCTCCTTGCTCCAAGCTCATCCTTTCTTCCACTGAGCCCTCTCTGACCTTTAACCATTGCTTAAACGACTCTCTGCTCAGATTGGCCCCAGCTAAGGCTCCTCAGGGCCACCTGCCAGCCCTCCTCACTGGCTCAGCCTCATTCCCCATGTCTCCCCTTCGCGAACAATCTGCTTCAGCAGCAATCCTGTCTGCCCCGCTCATCCTGTCATTCCTTCCGCATGCCATCTCCTCAGTCTGCACCTACCCCGTCGTTTCTCTTTGCGCCAATACCCACTCACAGGTCGCAGCCTTCCGTGGCCAGAACGCCTGCTAGGCTCGGCTGTACCTGCCTGGGCTCGCACCCTCACTCGCCAGCCCCTCGGATGGCACTGCCCTACCTTGCACTTGACGACAGGCAGCTCGGAAAGAGGGTTCTTCGGGAGTTGGTGCAGCTGTGACCTTGGTTCTCCCGGCAAGACAAAAAGCTCCTTGAGGGCAGGGGCTGGGTCCTCCAGTTCTCTGGTCTCCCCAAGACAGGGCTCTGCCCACAGTGGGCGATCAAAGCCGCTGATTGCCTGACAGGGGGATGGACTGGATGACCTATGAGCTTGCACTCAGCCCCCTCACTGCTGTACATCCATGACACCTGCGGCGCCACCTGGCAGTCCTTGCTCCCCCAACAGGCCATGCCCTGTGTGCCTCTCAGCTTTTGCACGTGCTTCTTTCTGAGGCGCCATTTTCCTCCTTCTCTACCTGGAAAATGGTTACTCTTTCAAGGACACAGTGTATCTGCCACCTCCTCTGTGAGGTGCTCCCGACAAAACCTCCAATCAAGATTAACAGCTCCCTTGGTGATTTGTTCAACAAACGTGCACTGGGAGCCACCTATGCTGTACGGGCATCGGGGAAACGGGTTAATCAGATCGGCCTACCCTCAAGGAGCTCACGGTCTAGGGTAGGGGTGTCGAACTCAATCAGAGAAGGGGCCAAAATCTAAAATCCAGCCTAAATCGCGGGCCGAATGGTTTACTGAACAGTCATAAACTGTCATTGTGATGGAAACGCAGCAGAGTGCAGTGATGACAGCGTGGTGCGGGCCACATTGCAAGGCCTGGTGGGACGGATTTGGCCCGCGGGCCTTGTGTTTGACACATGTGGTCTAGGGGAAAGACCAAAGAGTAAAAAGACAAGTTGACCAGAGTGTGACATGCCACGGTGGAGAGGCTGTGGGAGAACAGAGAAAACCAGGGAGAGTTCCTAGAAGAGGGGACTCCTGAGCGTCTGCCATGGCACTTGGCACACAGCTGTACGGCAGGAAGGGAGGTCTCTACCTTCCGCCAGCTCCTTGGGAGCAAGTGCGTTATCATTCAGCAGAAAGACAGACAGTTGGTGTCTTTACTTGCAGGAGAAGCCCACTACCTGCTGCCCCAGCTACCTGCCCCGATATTTGTGTCCCCAGGGCCTAGAACAGTGCCTGGCACATGTAGGTTCTTGATAAATGTTTGAAGGAAAAGAGGGAAAGGAGAGAGGGAGGGAGGGAGGGAGGGAGGGAGGGAGGGAGGGAGGGAGGGAGGGAAGGAAAGAGAGAAGGAAGGAGTGAAGGGAGAGAAGGAAGGAGTGAAGGGAGAGAGGGAGTAAAGGAAGGGAGGGAGGAAGGGAGGGAGGGAGAGAGGGAAGGGAGGAAGGAAGGGAGGAAGGAAGGGAGGGAGAAAGGAGGAAAGGAAGGGAGGAAGGAAGGGAGGGAGAGAGGGAAGGGAGGAAGGAAGGGAGGAAGGAAGGGAGGGAGGAAGGAGAAAAAAAGGGAGGAGGGGAGGGAGGGAGAGAAGGAAGGGAGGAAGGAAGGGAGGAAGGAAGGGAGGGAGGAAGGAGGAAAAAAAGGGAGGAGGGGAGGGAGGGAGAGAAGGAAGGGAGGAAGGAAGGAAGGGAGGAAGGAAGGAAGGGAGGGAGGGAGGGAGGGAGGGAGGGAGGAAGGAAGGACTTCTTCCAGCAAGGAATACTTACTGCAGGATAGACATGGCCAATCTGAGCAGTCCTCCCGATGTGGAGCTCATCTTCATCCTCCTCCTCTGTTGTCTTCCTGTACACTGGGTTGTCAAAATTCATGCTTTTGGTGTTCTTCCGCTTCCAGTTTCTCCAGATCAGGTAGCCGCTCGTGCACAGGAGGGCTATCACCGCTGAGGAAAGAGACAGCGCACTGACCTCCAGCAGGCTCCAGCCGCTGCGCAGACGCCAGTGCTTCCCTTGCCCCCTCTCTGACCTTACTGCCTCGTTCCTTAGGCTGTCTCTCCGTGTTCCTTTCCTGCTGCTTGGAAGCCCTTTCCCACCTCCTCTTTCATGAACTACTCATCCTTCAAATCCGGCTCCAGTGTGAAGATTTGCTCAGCTTCTCAAGGTGGACTCAGTTGCTCCCTCCCACGTGTTCCCGGACCGCAGTATCGTGCTTTACATGTGTGTACCCCAGCGAGAATGAGCTCTTTGCGGGCAGGGCCTGTGTCTTTTCCTCTCTCTATGGCCAGAGCCTTGTGATGTGTGCTGCGTGAATGAGTGAACTTCTTCACCACACCTTTGCCCTAATCATGCGGCTTCCCTGGATTTCTCCAAGAAAACCATTCTCCCTCCCACAAGAGAGGGGCTCTGCAAGAAGAGGCGCACCTCTAGGGGACAGCGCGGGAAGACCCAGGCTCCGAGTTGGAATAAGTCAGCGTGCTAAGCACACAGGAGGAAGTTCTCAAACAGACCTGGGCACAAACGGGGTTCCAGCATAACTTGTACAGATTAACAAGATGATTCTAAAGTTCATCGCGAAGAGTAATTAAATAAAAATAGGAGATGCAAATCAAAACAACAATGCAGTACCATCTCACACCTGTCAGAATAGCCAACATCAACAAATCAACAAACGACAAGTGTTGGCGAGGTTGCAGAGAAAAAGGAACCCTCGTGCACTGCTGGTGGGAATGCAGACTGGTGCAACCACTGTGGAGGACAGTATGGAGTTTCCTCAAAAAACTGAAAATGGAACTCCCATTTGACCCAGTAATCCCACTCCTAGGAATATATCCCAAGAAACTAGAAACACCAATCAGAAAGGATATATGCACCCCTATGTTCATAGCAGCACAATCTACAACAGCTAGAATTTGGAAACAGCCTAGGTGCCCGTCAGCAGAGGATTGGATCAAAAAACGTTGGTACATCTACACAATTAATATTATGCCGCCATAAAAAAGAAGAAATTCTCATCATTTGCAGCAACCTGGATAGAATTAGAGAACATCATGCTGAGTGAAATAAGCCAGTCAATGAAAGAGAAATACCACATGACCTCACTCATTTATGGATATTAAAGAACATTATAAACTTATGATCCAAAAGACAGATATAAAGACAGTAAAGCAACAAGCAGACTGTCAAATTACAGCGGGGAGGGTAGGGAGATCTGGGGGAGATAAAGAGATCAACCGAAGGACTTGTATACATGCATATAAGTACAACCAATGGACACAAAACTCTGGGGAGGGAGGGTATGTATGGGGGGGGGCAATGTTAAAATATGTACAGAGATAATAATTTAATAAAAAAAATATTAAAATAAATAAATAAAAATAGCTAGGAAACATATGTGATACTTTCAACAAGAGAAATTTAAATAAATAAATAAATAAATAAATAAATAACCGGCTAGGAAAATGTGGCGAGAATAACAGTGCCCTGCTAGATATTGAGACAGAGCACAAGGTTGTGCTTCTAGTAGACAAGCCACTGGTGGGGGAGAGAAGCCTACAAGCAGATCATAGTCTACACGGGCACATAGTTCATAATAAAGGTGACAATTCAAGCCAGAAGGAAAAGACCAACTGCTCAGTAACGGGAAAACTAGACAGGCATGCAGGGGGAAAGTTAGATCTTTACCTCATACCAGACTCTAAAGTAACTTCCAAATGTGTTAATATGTCAATACTAAATTGTGCTTAAAGTAGCAGGAAAATATGCAGGGAGCTATTTTAATAATTTAGAGTGAGGCAAACCTCCCTAAGGAAGACCCAGAAACCATACACAAAAGATTAACATCTGATACTTAAAAACTTTTAAATTTATGTATGGTAAAAGACACCATAAACAAATTTCAAGTGGCATTATGCGAGAAAATATTTGGAACATGTTTAACATTCATCATGTAAAGACACTTCTATAAATAAGAAGAAGACACAGAACCAACAGGAAAATACAAAAGAAGACTGTGAATAGGCCATTCATGGAGGATGAAATGTAAACGGCCAATAGGCTCATGGGATGGAAAAACATCAGGGAAAGAATATCCATCTTTCATCCCTCCCATCAGTGGGAGTTTAAAATACTGATTACATCAGAGTGGGTTATGGTCGAGAAGACAGGAAAGGGGTGAGTTTCTCGTTCACTAAACGATGCTCAGAGTATTTCCCATCCCCTCCACACAACATAAGGCTGGAACAGCCTCGCCACCATCTTTACTGCGGAACCTGTTCAAGGCCAATTCGAATGCCATCTTCTCCAGAAGTGCCATCCACGCTCCTCCACGGGCACCATGCCCGTTACAGCACATAACATGTACTAATACCTCGAGTGTAGCCACTCTTTTATGACTAAATCTGACTAAGGAATGAAAGCTCTTAAAGTCCCTTTCTTCCTCGGATCCTTGGCACTTGGCACAGACCCTTGCTCAGTAAAGAACTTTTTAAAGCATTCACTCACTAATTCACCACCACATTGGGGGTTCCTAAGGTTAAGTTGAGGTACTACTCATGGGCAAGTAAGAGATAAACCTATGAACTGACAGTCCCAATCCAAAGATCCCACTAAGAGGTGACACCGGTATGAGAGACAGGATGTACAGAATACTCTGTGATCACCGGCGTGGGAGGGAATGAGTCAACTCCTGGGAATCTTTGTGAGATTTAACAAAATGTTATATATTCTGGCCATGCTGAACTCCTAGTTCAAATCTCACCCCTCCACACCTCCCCCCCTCTACTCCTCTCCCCCCCATACACGCCATGCCATTTCCCATTCCTGGTTCAGCTCATGGTGTCTTCACTGCTTGGGTTGCTCTTGCTCCTTCTTCACGTGGCTGGCTCAGCTCAGATACAATTTCCACACGGAAACCTTCCCTGCCTGCTCCCTTCTCTCCCAGTTCTGCATTAAATGCTTCCTTGGCACTTCTCCTGAAGCACATATGGCTTAATTATAGGACTTAGCGTGTCACCATCAAATCATCTGTGCTAAGTGTGTCTCTCCAACAAGAGGATAAACGAGGGCAGGAGCCACGTGTCATCTACGTTTAACCACCTCCCCTCCCCTCGTCCCAGAGCCTGGGACATAGTAGCTGCTTGCCAAACGTTTGTTGAAAACCAAACAGAAAGAAAGCGAGGTGGCACGATCAAAGCAATGGCAAGCAGCTAGCTCTCCTCATTCATTCAATATATATTTTACTTCCTACCATGTGCCAGACACTGCCGGGAGCCGGGGAGAGGGGCAGGCATGCGAGATGCCACCCTGTCCCACGGAGCATACCGTGCAGCCCCCGTGGCTGGATGCAGAGTGGGAAGGAGAGGGCACTGGGGATGCAGAGTGGGAAGGAGAGGGCACTGGGGATGCAGAGTGGGAAGGAGAGGGCACTGGGGATGCAGAGTGGGAAGGAGAGGGCACTGGGGATGCAGAGTGGGAAGGAGAGGGCACTGGGGATGCAGAGTGGGAAGGAGAGGGCACTGGGGATGCCGAGTGGGAAGGAGAGGGCACTGGGGATGCATCTGCGCGGTTGCCCAGGGCCAGCTCCTAAAGCGCCTCGCTGTGCCAAACTAAGGAACCAAGTTAAGTCAGGCCTGGGAGGCAGGCAGGAAGGCTGCCAGGGCAGAAAGAGGTCAACGGGGCAGGTCAGCATGCCAAGTGCCCCGTCCTTCCAGGGCTTTCCCCCAGGCCCCGGGCAAGGTCTCGCTCTCCTCCCAGTGACCTGGGGCCACACTCACCCACGGGCACGATGATCCCAATGACAGCAGCAGTGACCGTGGAGCCCGGCTTGCCGCCTTCATTCCCGTCTGCAAAACACAAACACCCATAGGATGATGTCTCTCGATTCCAGGGGTCCTCCCGTCCATCTGCATTATCATTCGTTTTTAAGACATAATTGAAATGGAACACAGTATCCCTGGAGCAAACTTCTTGGGTTCAAGTCTAGCTCTGCTACTCACTGTCTGTGTGACCAAGGACAAGTTATTAGATATAATAAGTATATTTCTTTGTCTTTAAAGTGGGGATAATGTTAACCTACCTCCTAGGGATACTGTCCAGACTAAATGAGGTGATTCCTGTAAAATGCTTAGCAGAGCGCCCGGCACAGCCCTGTCTCGTTCAGAGAGGGCAGGCAGTGGGGTAGGGTTGTTGTAAAGCCTAAACACGATAGGGGGTCCCTGTAGAGAAGCACATTCTAAACTGAGAAGTGCTGCCGAAGCCGGTCTGGCTCAATGGATAGAGCGTCGGTCTGCAGACTGAAAGGTCCCAGGTTCGATTCCAGTCAAGGGCATGTACATTGGCTGCGGGCACATCCCCGGTGGGGGGTGTGCAAGAGGCAGCTGGTCGATGTTTCTCTCTCATCGACGTTTCTAACTCTCCCTCTCCCTTCCTCTCTGTTAAAAAAAAAATCAATAAAATATAAAAAAATAAAAAATAAAAAATAAATAAACCGAGAAGTGCTTGGAAAGCGAACTGTCATTTTTAAAAAGTATGTTGCATCATCTTCCCACTCTCACAGCCCCCTTCATTGCCACGTGTGTACGGCACTTGGTAGTGTGGAAGGCCCTCCTCCCCGGGACCTCCTGCCGCGGGAGGGTCTGGGCGGGAAGAGCTGTCGTCTGCTTTTGCTCCAAGAGAGGTGACTGCCCCTGACAGTGGCCCAGTGTGTCTTTTCTCCAAGCCGACACAGCTACCATGGCAACGTGGCTGTCCTCTCCCTGCGGCCCAGCAAGCCCCGCGCAGCGATCGTAAGCCTGGAGCGTGACACATCCCAGCGGCGGCGCCCTGGCTGAGGGGAACTGGAATCACACATGTCCCACCGCTTCCCACACCTGCAGGTAGGTGCTCCGCTCTGAAACCCCAGCTTCTGCCGGGAGGACAGACCCAGCCAGCAAGGTGCTGCCGAGCGGCCGGGTTTCTGGGCCTCACGTGCACGGGGAAGCATTTCCTCTTGATTTACTCCCCTCGGCAGGTAACTCAATTAAAAAGGGTTCGCTGGTTAATGAGACGGGACTTTTCTGGCAGTGATAATTACTGCTCCCGATGATTTAATGAGTGGGGGAACCTAATGACTTTCAGCCCGGGGTTTGGGAAGAGGCACAAGCAGAGTAGTTATGGATATTATTATCTGAGGGACCGACCGAGGGTGTCGAGAACTGAGACCAGAACTTCTGAAGTTTCCATATCTAAGGGGCACTCCTTTCTCTACATGTCAGTACACGTGACACAGAAACCCCATCCCCCACCCCCACTGCAGCAGAGGCTGTGTGTGTGAGCACTTCGATGACACCATCTCCTTTGCCTCTCATGGCAATCTGGTGAAGCAGGTAGGAGAAGGGTTGTTATTATTCTGCTTTGTAGGTGGGGAGACTGAGGCTCAGAGACGGGAAGTAGCTTCCTTTAAGACCCTCTGAAGTTAGGGGCACCGAAGACTCCTACATCATAGGTGAGCACTCCACCTCAGAGATACCCACTATTCAGCTCCGGTACAACCTCCCCTTCCCACATATGCCCTGCCGCGGGTGCCCACAGAATGAGAGGAGGCAGAACTCATTTCCTTACAGTGCTGGGAGTGGTTGCTGGTCGCAGGGCTTGGGATAGACGGGCCGATGCTGGACGCCCCGGGGACGCTGACTGAGCTTGGGACTGCAGCCGCCGGGCGTGGTGTCTCTGTGCTGTGGTTCCGGTGGGTGGGGCTGTGGGTGGCGGTGCCTGGAGCCCTTGCAGAGTCCGCTTCCGTCCTCGCTGTGGGAGAGGCTAACGGCGTAGTTGAGGTAGATTGAGATGCTGGAGGGGGAATACCACGGAGGTCACTTGGACAGAGAATTTTATTGATTTAGTGCCTGCATTATTGACTCGTGGACTCTACTTATGAACGTATCCAGTTCAAGCACCGTTTCTGGGTAGCCTTCCCTAATCCTCCTAGGGGACTGTGCTCTTTTCTTTGGCCGTAGCCCAGGCACCACGCCTGAGTTCATACTGCATGCTGATGTGAGAAGATGAGTCAGTAAAACAATGCTGAGAATTAGGCGTGGGCAAGACCGCCGTGAAAGTCTGGGAGGAGGGAAAACCCTATCAGTCTAGGAGGATTTTACACGCATCCTGTCACACCATTAGGGTTAAATTCTCACTCCGCTTTAAACAATTGCATCTGGAAATCACAAATGATACAGTGGATTTTTGCTCAGACAAAAGGCTTTGTGCCTGCATTAAGACCTGGGAATGAGTAGAAATTTAAATGGCTGAAGTATGAACTATTAGCCTCGATCATGTCACAAAGGGCTTCTATGTAACGTGTTACGTTCTGGGCAGGAAACAGGGAAGCTCATAGTCACCTGCATATAAACAGTGGTAATGCCATGGGGATAAAAGTTATTTTGTTTTAAATTTATTGACTTGAGAGAGAGAGAGGAAGGGAGAGAGCCTGAGAGAGAAACATGGAGTTGTTGTCCCACATATTTATGCATTCATTAGTTGTTTCTTGAATATGCCCTAACCCAGAGATGGAACCCGCAACCTTGGCATATAAGGATGATGCTCTAAGCTAGGGGTGTCGAACTCAATCAGAGAAGGGGCCAAAATCTAAAATCCAGCCTAAATCGCGGGCCGAATGGTTTACTGAACAGTCATAAACTGTCATTGTGATGGAAACGCAGCGGAGTGCAGTGATGACAGCGCGGTGCGGGCCACATTGCAAGGCCTGGCGGGACGGATTTGGCCCGCGGGCCTTGTGTTTGACACATGTGCTCTAAGCCACTGAGCTACCCAGCCATGGCCAATCAAGGGCTCTTAATTTAAAGTCTGAAAGGGCATCCTGGAAGTCTTGGGGGAGTGGGAGGAGGAGAGCCTTGGAAGGACCCGGGGGCACCAGCACTGAAGGAAGGTGAAGCAGAGCCCGCGAAAGCCTCCCGCAGCGAGCGGCGGAGGAAGCCCGGAGCACACAGTGCCCGGGAGCCGGGGGGAGCCCGCGTACCTCGGTAACACCTCTTCCTGTCGGGGCCCAGCCACATGGCGTCAGGACAGGCGCACGTGTACTTGGGAGAGTGGCTGGAGAGCTGAGGAGCAGGGAGGCACAGGTACTCACAGCCGCCGTCCGGCTGGGCACTCAGCTCGCAGGCGTCTCCAGCTGGTGGGGGGGAGGGAGAGAGGCGGGCCCCTTCCACACCGGAGCTGGGCTCACCCCACAGCCTCGCGTATCCTGACCACAGCTCTCCGAGGCGGGCTTTAGGCCCAGGTTGACAGATAGAAGACCGTTACGCTTACACGGGGAATACATTTGTCAAGGCTGTACCTCTAGGGACTTGGGAGGCAGATTTAAACTGAGGCCTGTTTTTCTCCCTATGTCCCCAGCCATTCCTCTTACTTTTTTCAATTTCTAGATCTAGAATCAGGCACCTACCTTATCCCCTATGACTTATCCCCTATGACTTCTCACCTGCACCCTGAAAGCCAGCCCCTCAGTTACAGTGACACTTAGTACACCTTAGAGATAGAGGAGGCGACAGCAGGTGGTAGGATTCCTGGCTTCTATTCCCAACCAACGACCTGAATTATAATCCGGCCCCAGGATTCACTAGTTTATGCTACTGTCAAATGGGTCCACATAATAAACGAGAAGCAATGTGCTCCTTGTGGCAGAAGGGGCTCTGGAATCTGAGCTAACAATATTTTACTTCTCTGGGCCACCGCTTCCCCAATTGTTAAATGAGAACAGTAATACCCACACTTTATAGGACTGGCAAAAAGAGGGCACTTATATATTTACTAGAGACTTGGTGCACAAAATTCATGCATGGTGGGGGTATGTCCCTCAGCCCAGCCTGCACCCTCCCCAATCGGGGATCCCTCAAGGGATGTCAGACTGCCCATTTAGGCCCAATCCCACCAGGCAGTTGGACATCCCTCTCACAACCCAAAACTTCTGCTCCTAACTGCTTGCCTGCCTGCCTGCCTGATTGCCCCTAACCACTTCTGCCTGCCAGCCTGATTGACAACTAACTGCTCCCCTGCTGGCCTGATTGCCCCTAACTGCCCTCCCCTGCTGGCCTGGTCACCCCTAATTGCCCTCCCCTGCCAGCCTGGTCGCCCCTAACTGTCCTCCCCTGCAGTCCTGGTCACCCCCAACTACCATCCCTTGCTGGCCCGATAACCCCTAACTGCCCTCCCTTACCAGCCTGGTTGCCCCTAACTGCCCTCCACTGCAAGCCTGGTCATCCCCAACTGCCCTGCCTTGTAGATCTGGTCCCTCCCAACTGCCCTCCCCTGCTGGCCTGATCACCCACAACTGCCCTCCCCTGCCCACCATCTTGTGGTGGCCATCTTGCGTCCACGTGGGGATGGCCATCTTGTGTTGGAGTGATGATCAATTTGTATATTACCTCTTTATTAGCTAGGATTTCTTTATACCCAGGCTTATTTCACCAGGAGCTTGCTTGAGGCAAAATGAAATAAGACACGTGACAGCTCACACCCGGAGGAGGTGCTGCCTTACTCCTGGGGTGCTGAGATACTCGTGCCTGCGCCTCGTGGAGGGAGAGGCCGTGGCGGGGACCGGGACTGGGAAGGCTCACCTCTCGGCTGCTTCAGCTCATGGAAGATGACGATGTCGTGCGGGTTGTTGAGGTTCTCGGCCAGGACGGAGATTTCCAGGCCGCTGAGCCGGTTCGCACTGAAAATGGCCTCGTTCTCCAGGTCTGTCCAGTACACCTTGTCCTGTGGGTGCAGAGCAAAGGCTGGGGGGGCCCAGAGCCTAAACCCAGGACCCCAGTCTGAGGGTCCGGCCCCAAAGCCTGGACATGAGAACTGCCCTGCTGTCTGCCTGAGCTCCCCTGTCCACAGGCGCACAGGGGATGTGGACGCTGACCTGTGGATGTGCTCTGGCTCCCCCCGTCTCAGAGTGTCCTTTGGTGATTTGGTGCTTTGGCCGGGAGGCTGCTCGTTAGCGCCCAGCTAGGCCTGCTGCCTGGGTCTCTGTGAGCTTTACCATTACTGGGGCCCAGGACCATGATTGGAAAGGATGTGCGAGCTACTGAGGACTATTCCCTGCGGGGCGGTCTACAGCCTCTGGGCACAACACACATGGTTAATCCATACAGCCTGGATGTGCATCTGTAGAGATGTCCACATTGACAGGAACAAACATGTAGCCTCATGCACAGACTGGACACATACCCACATGCTCGACACACACACAAAGGCACACTTGTACCTAAATAAGCACTTATGTAAGTATTGATATACATATTTATGCACATAAGCACCAGCATATAAAGGAATACATGCTTTCTTTTCTTTTCTTTTTTAGCGAGAGAGGGAGGGATAAATTATGAGGAGGGGGATGTGAGAGAGAGAGAGAGAGAGAGAGAGAGAGAGAGAGAGAGAGAGGGAGAGAAAACATGGATGTGAGAGAGATACATTGATCGATCGATTGCTTCCTTACTGGGACTGAACCTACAACAAGGTATGTGCCCTGACTGGGAACTGAACCCACAATCCACAATCCACAATCGTCCGGTGCTCCAACCAACTGAGCCACACTGGCCCGGGCAAGGAAAACATGCTTTTAAATGTATTCATGTACACACATGCACACACACATATTTTACACGTATGGGTCACAAATACGCACAAGCACATACATGTGTCCGAACACACCTGTTTTGAAGCAGGGGCTGGGCTTGCCCATAAATTCAGAGCACAGCTGGGTGATGTCACTCCAAGCAAACACTGCCAGTGCCCACCACAGACCACTGCCCCCTGCTCCCCTCCCCTGGTGGCAGAGTTAGTTTGGGGGCAGAAGCAGAAGTGTGAGACCGTGATTGGTTCTTGCTTCTTTGTTCCCCGGGGAGAAAGGTTAACAGGGTCAGAACAAAGGAGGGTCTGAACTCTCACTCCTGGGAGCTTCGTGGCCTGGGATGATGTCTGCTTCACTTCTATGACCCCAAGGTCCAGAAAGGGTCAGTAAAACAGTATCTTTCAGGCCATTTCCAACAATAAACGATTGTAAGGAAATATAGACCCATCCCTCCCTCGCCCCTCCCTCTCATAACTGGGTGCCTTGTGTACATGTGGGCCCAGTGCTGGGTGCTACGAGTTCCCAGAGAAAACATGTGGTCTCGCAACTTACCTCTGAGCTTGGGGTCTTGCTCTGGGAAGGGAGTGCAGGGACGCTGCCAGGGGACACGGCCACAAAGGCTTTGCGCGGAGGCCGCGCACAAAGGCACAGACACGCCGGCTGCTCCGTTCGGACAGCCTCAGGCAGCCGTCCCGCCTGAGTGCGCCTTTTCTAGGCTCCGGCTTCCTAGGGGCCAGGCCTCCCGCACGGGCTCACCTCAAACACGGCGATCCCAAAGGGGTGGCTCAGGAAGTCGGGGGAGAAGACCAGCATCTTCCTGTTGCCTCCGCTGAAGTCAATGCTGGACAGCTGGTGCAGCTTGGAGTCTACCCAGTACAAGCGCTGGCTCAGCAGGTCTTGGGGAGGCAGGAGGGGACAGGGGACCGGGTCACCAGCCTGGGACCACAGCCTGGATCTCTGCTCTTCTGCGCCCCCTCCTGCCCACATCTCCAGGCCAGGCCTCCACCTGAGCCCGTCCCGGGGCAACCACCAGGGCGCACAGGCCTGGCACCGTGAGGGGTGCAGGAACAAGACCCGGGGGCTTGGGCAGGGCCGGGTGCTGGCACAGCCCCCATCGGAGGGCAGGGCTCACCCAGGGTGATCCCGTTGGGCCACTCAATGTCGTCCGACACCAGTGTTCGCCGGTCCGCACCGTTGAGCCCAGACTTCTCGATCTTGGCCTGGTACCCCCAGTCAGACCAATACATGAACCTAAAACAGAGAAAAACCCAACAGGGCTTCTTGTCAGAGACATGGGGGGCCAGTGACCCACTGAATGCTGACGATGACACGTGGTAGGGCTGGGAAGGCCTGAAATCCACGGGAATAGCCGATCTTGGCCTTAGCAGGTGCTTTAGCCTCCACCTCATCCGAGTGCTGGGGAGCCTGTGCTCCCCGTGTCCCCGGCCGCTGTGGGTGGCCCGGAAGCCATCTCTCCCCCGGCAGCTCCAGCCACAGCCTTTGGCTGCCCGTGTGGGGAGGGCCCTCGCCCACCCTCTCCTACTGTCCGGTCTGCGGAGGAGGGAGTGGATGCCACACAGCTAGACGGACCAGGGCCCGCCTCTTTCTTTCCTGGACACGCATTGAGCACTTACTATGTGCCAGGCTGCGTGGTTTCACCTCACGTACCTACTTCGGGACTACGGAGGAAGTCGAAGAGAGGCAGATTGGGGAATATGAGAAAACAAACAAAACGAAACAAGCAAATCCTTCCTAATGGGCAGAACTGTCCCCGGGTGAGACAGGAAGTGTGTGAGCAGCCACCAGAGGGCCCCCTGCAGCACGAGGACAGGATCTCCGCCCCGGAGCGTTTACAGGTGATTTCCAGGGCCGCTCTGTGCTGAGACCCGTGTCCCTGACTCTGTGACAGATGCATGGGCGGCAGAGTCCTGCTGGGAGGCGGAGGGGCCTGCTGGGACTCTCCTCCCACGGGCTGCGCCTAAGGCCTTCCGAAGCCCTCTTAGGACAGACCCCCGGGGACTGAGCGACTGGGAGCCTGTGGTGGGAGGACGGGAAGCTCCGGGCGAGGACACTCACCCTCGCAGGGGGTCCAGGGCGATGGCCCGGGGCTCGCTGAGGTCGCGGCTGAACAGAGTGCGTCGGCGGCTGCCGTCGACCGTGGCCACCGAGATGGACTTGTTGCCCGAGTCGGTCCAGTAGATGTGCTTGTGCACCCAGTCCACCGCCAGGCCCTCGGGGGAGTGCAGCTGCGCGTCGATGAGGACCTCCTGCTCCGCAGGGTCGCTGGCCTTGTCCATGTACGCGCTGGGAGAACCGGAGTGGCCGTGGGCGGGTGCTCCACCCACGCGTCCCCCGGGGCTGCCTGTGAGCCCTCTTTCCTCCTCCCGCCCCCCCTTCTCTCTTCTCCCCTCTTCCCCCTCTGGGCGAGGGCAGTGGGTTTTAGAGGAGCTTAGCTAATTTCTACTCAATGCATCCCCTGGGCCACCAGGGTAAGCACATAGGCCCGAATCAGCCACAGCCTCCCGCCTGGAGGAGTCCATTTTGTTGGGGACAGAAAGCTACAGCCAGATCATCGCAGCACGACGTGATGGCATAAGCCACTCGGGGCTGTAGCAGCAGAGAAAGGGAGGCTGCGGCGTCCTGGGGGCACGCAGAAGGCTTCGTAGGTGAGCCCTGAAGTCCCGCGCATTAGGAGCACAGCGAACAGCGCGTGCAGACGCCCAGGGGTGTGTGTCTGGAATGCTGAGTGAGCGCCGCATAGTGGAGGGGGAGCTGGGATAGAAGACGAAGTCGTGTGGGAAGGGCCCGCACCGTGGGCTCTGCATGCCACGCTGAGGGGCTGGATTTTAGGTCCGATGGGCATGTGAGGTCACCGTGGCACCTGAGGACTATGAGGTGGACTGGAAAGGGCAGAATGGAGGCAGGGAGACCGGGGGAGGGGGGCTGTTTACGGTCTAGGTGTGAGATCAAGAGGGAGGTTGTGCCAGTGAGAATGCAGGGAAGGGGCTGAAAACACAGTCGACGCCCAGGAGGCAACATTAACAGGACTTTCCGTCTCCCAAATGCCGTTTCTCCCAAGGTTTTCTCTCCCCATAACCTCTCTCTGGGAGGCTAGTTCCACAGTGCCCGCTGCCGTCCATCACTCTGACTCCCCCATCCCGGCCTCTCTCTGAAGCTCCAGACGGTAAAGCCAACTGGCCGCCCTTGGATGTCCAGACACCTTAAACTCAATGCATCCAGAACCTTCTCCCCACTGCCCTCCCCTCAGCCAACTGGGCTGCCCCAAACCCCACTCGGTCTCCCCCACAGCTCCCACCTCAGAACCTCCCGAGCCAGAACCCAAAACTCCCCAAATGAACCTGGAAGCTCGTCCGACTCTTCCGCCTCAGCCCCACTTCGCCTGTCATCAAATCCCCCCTCTTTCAGGAACAGCTGCTGGGACAGGCGAGCTGTTTCTGTGTGTGTGACTGTGTGTGGGGGCGGGCGGTAGTCATTGAGTTATCAGTGAGTAACATTTGGTATTCTTGTTTCGACCTTTCCACCCGTCTGTCCATCCACCCATCCATCCCCTCATTCTTTCAACAGTCTCCCCAGTGCCCGGTCCTGGCAGGTCTGCTGAGTGGATGGATCTCAGACAAAGCAAGGCTGAGACCGCCCCAAGGGACGGGGCCAGCCGGCTCCTGGTATCTGAGAAAGAGCGGGAGGAGGGAACCGAGTGTGGGAGGAGCTTTCCTGGGAGCGGAAGGTCACTGAGGGGTGTCACAGACACAGGGAAGGGCCGGACTGGGGTGCTGCATCGGGAAGGTTTCCCTGACCCCCTGGTTGGGTCAGAGGCCTCCTCTGTAACTCCCCTCATGACTCATGGTCGGCACAATGGATGTCACTGCACTGTGAGTGGGTTCTCCAGGCATCTGCGTCATTTCTGAGTCCTCAGGATCCAACAACAGACCCGTGAGCTGCTTTGAAATCCTCACCAGGATGAAACCGGTTTGGCTCAGTGGATAGAGCTTTGGCCTGTGAACCGAAAGGTCCCAGGTTCGATTCCGGTCAAGGGAATGCACCTTGGTTGCGGGCACATCCCCAATAGAGGGTGTGCAGGAGGCAGCTGATCGATGTTTCTCTCTCATCGATGTTTCTAACTCTCTATCCCTCTCTCTTCCTCAAAATTAATAAAAAAAAATATATTTAAAAAAAGAAAGTCCTCACCAAAGGCAGGGATTCCTTCCTTTCTGCCCTGACTGCACATTCCCTACTAGGCCACTGGGGGGCAGCCAAAGCCCCGGTGTTTGGAGCTCACAGCTGCTCTCCCAATGGAGGCACAGCCTAAGGCCAGGCCAGGGTGTGTGTGTGTTGAGGCGGGGGAGGGTGGTGGTGGTGGTGTATGTGTGTGGGGGAGGGCTGTGTGGAAGGGGTCCTGCAGTTCCATAGCCACTGTGATTCCGTGTCCCTTCCTAAGCCCTAACCTCGTCCTGGAGAATTCCAGGGGCAGAAAGGGCCCAGAGGCCTCCTTCCTCTCTGCTCCGGCAGCTCCCCGCCAGGCCTGGCTGCTCACCTGTAGATCTTGCGGTAAGAGAGGTCGCACCAGTAGATGCGATTGGTGGCCACTTCCACGTCGAGCGCCACGACGTTCTTGAGCATCGGGATGAGGCGCGAGTAGTCCCGCTTCACCAGGCCTATCCTCCGCACCTCGTGCCGGTTGGTGAAGATCAGGGACGGGCTCCTGCCAGCTGCCGCGCAGAGAGGCGGAGAGGGAAAGGGCAAGAGGTGAGGAGGGGAGGCCGAGGCCCCCTCGCTGGTTTGCTGGGCGATGCCTCCTTTTCCCGCAGAGCAGGCGGCAAGTCCTACCTCACAGGGTCGAGGAGCAGATGAAGCTATTGTTACAAAAGCGTAAGATGCAAACGTCCCACACATAACAGAAGGATTTTCCCTCTTTTTATTAGATGCAAATTCCCACAATCCCCCCCATTTCCTCCTCAGGCTGGCACTGAAGGCTGTGTGACCCCACGCTCCCTGTCCAGCCTCATCACTCGCCTCTCCAGCACGCCTCCATTCCAGCCTCCGGACCGCCGGCCGTTCCTCAGCCGCCTCGGAGCTTTGCTGCCTCGGGGCCTTTGCTTACGTTGTCCCTCTGCCTAGAACGCACCTCTCCCCAGCGACTACCACCTCCTTGGTTCAGGGCCCCACTGCGATAGTTCAAGAGGGGCAACACGAGCACTGAGTGCTTTACAAAGACGACTGAGGACCCAGTATGGAGGACAGACACGGGAGCAGGGGTGAGACTGGAGGAGAAGGAGATTAGAGAGAGGAGATTCAGGGAGGCCATTGTGAGTCTTTATTGGCGTGTATTTAGGGACATAGAGAGAAGGCTGCAGAGGTTGGCAGGGGCCAGACCATGAAGCGTCCTCTCAGCTGGGCGAAGAATCTGCACTTTATTCTGAGCCAACAGCAGGGCTGGGATTGTGCAATATATGACACAGACGATGCATATGCATACACAAAACCCATTTACGGACTGGAGATTAGATTTCAGGAAGGCCATCAGTGACCTAGACTTTCCTGGCTACTGCCTCAGGAGGGCACACCATGTCCCGCATCTACTCAAAACCCTCGGAAGTTCCCCTGACTTCGAAGGGAACCCAGGGTCACCCCTCGCTGGGAGGAGGAGACCTGTGTGATCTGCCCCAGTCGCCTCTCTGACTTCCTCCTGTTCTCCTTCTCCAGCTGCACTGGCTTCCTCACTGTTCCTTGAAACCAGGCATGCTCCTGCCTCAGGGCCTTAGCACGTCTGTGCCTCCGCCGGTGGCTGTTCCTGCAGATAGGTGCACGGCGGCTCACTCCTTCACCGCACAGGCCGCCTTCTCAGGAAGGGGAGGGCCCCGACCACTCTAACCAAAAAGGCTAGCCACTGCCCCTCCTGGGCCTCCCCCCTTCTCCTTCCCTGCGTTAAGAGTCCTCCTAACGCTTATTGCTTTCGGCAGCGCACTGTATAGTATTTATTTGTCTGGCTTCTTGTCGATCTCACCCACTAGGACACATGTGTCAAACACAAGGCCCGCGGGCCAAATCCGTCCCGCCAGGCCTTGCAATGTGGCCCGCACCGCGCTGTCATCACTGCACTCCGCTGCGTTTCCATCACAATGACAGTTTATGACTGTTCAGTAAACCATTCGGCCCGCGATTTAGGCTGGATTTTAGATTTTGGTCCCTTCTCTGATTGAGTTCGACACCCCTACACTAGGATGTCAGTCCCAGGAGGGCAGACAAGGATGTGTGTCTGTTTTGCTTACTGCTGAGCCTGCTGCCTACCACGTTAGGTGTCCCGTACAAAGGACTGAATAAAATGAATGAATGCATGCAGTTGGCTGAACTGACCGGTGAGGTCTGCATGTGCCATGCTCCTTGTGTGGGCTGCCGATGCTGTGTGTGCGGTCTGCATGGCCCAGCTTGCCTGTGCTGTTTCTGTGGGCTGTACTGGGAGGCTTTATGCAGCGTCTGGGTGTGTGGGCGTGTGCAGAGCGGCGTGCGGTGTGTGTACACTCACAGTGTGTACACTCACAGTGCGCACACCCCCTCCTCACCAATCGGAAGCACACTGCTTTCTGCGCCGCCCCAGAGCTCCCCTCCCCCACGCCCTGGGCGCCCATACCGACGGCCTTGCAGTTCTTGGTCAGCGGGTCCATCTCGTAGCCAGGGTGGCACTCGCACTTAAAGTAGCCCTTGAAGTTGACACAGATCTGGCTGCAGGCGTCCGGGTCCTCACACTCGTCGATGTCTGTGGGGAGGAGCGGGGGTCAGGGCGGGCGGGAGGCCCGGCCTCCGGCTGGGGGCCGAGGGGCGGGCCTCACCGCGGCACGTCTTCTGGTCCAGGAGCCGGTAGCCCGCCGGGCAGGTGCACTCAAAGCCGATCTTGAGGTCGTTGCAGATGTGGGAGCAGCCGCCGTTGTTGTGCAGACACTCGTTCAGCCCTGGAAAGGGACAGGGGCTCCTGAGGGTCCAGGAGCCCAGCCTGGGGTGGAGGCCGGACAGGGGAGGGCCAGGGCTGAAGCAGAGCCTCAGGGCAGCGGGACTCCCAGGAGCCAGGATGCTCTGTGGCCTCCCTGGACCTCAGCCTCGTTAGCCAGGCGACTGGGCGAGAGGTGGGTCAGAGGGGAGCGGTCCTCGCTGCAGGCCAGACACACAGACAGGGACAGAGCGGAACCAGAACTCCCAGGCCAGGGCTCTCTGCCGGCTGCCAGGCTGCCCAGGGTTTTTCCTTTCACAAACAAGTTCCTTCCAGCTTTTCCTTCCTCGTGGCCTCAGAGTGGAGAGGCCTGCATGTGCTCTGTCCATCCCTCAGGATACCCCAGCAACCCCTTCTGAACGCCCTCGCTTCAGCCTCTGCAGCCTCTGCAGCCCCCCCTCCCTCGGAGGGAACAAAGTCCTTCCTCACAGGACCTCCTCTGTGGTTTCTGCTCCCGCTCCCAGCTCTGTGTGTGGGGCTGACCAGTCTAATGGCTCCCTCAGAAGCTCCTTACAGCACTGATGTCTGATCCCTACCCATCAGCTGCCTTTCTCTGGATACACCCCGTTTGTCACGTCCCGCCTGGGCAGGGCCCAGAGCCAGCCCTCCGCGCAGAAGTCTGAACAGTCTCCCCCGTCTCGAGCGTGTGGTTATCTAAGATCCCCGGGTCTTTTTCTTTTCTGAGCGGCTGCTAAGTCAGTGCCCTCCTTACCATGAACAACAATGGGCTTTTCACCTCTCCTCCAGCACCCGTCTATTCCTACTCTTAGCCACCGGCCTGGCTCTGGGGTTACCGACTCCTGCAAAGGATGACGGGATGCCAGGAGGCTCTCTGGTCATCCACTCCCTCATCACCTCCGGCAGGGTCCCAGGGGAGGTCAGAGAGGCCGGGGCCACGGCTCGCAAGTTCTCACAGACAGCATCTTCTGAGCTTTGGAATCACAGAGGGTTAATTCTGCAAGCCAAGGGGCGGTGCCAGCCACCCCTCTGCCCTCTGGGCTCATGCACCACCGCGCCAGCCAAGCAGAGCCGAGCCGAGCCAGCCGTGACCATGCAAACAGCTGGCGGGAGCCGCCTGCCCCAGGCCATGCACAGCTGTGGGGACCCCCCTCCAGCCTAAGCCATGCTTGGGGAATGTTCCCCTTTACCCCTGGGCCTCCTCCTGTTTCCCTGAGAGGCTGGTCGAGCTGAAAGAACAAGACCACAGCAACCCCGTGACTGGGGGGGCCTGGGAGTGACTCGACCAGGCCCAGCCCCTGTGCATGGGCTAAGCCACGGTACCTCTGGGGTGATATCTGTGGAGCCCCACCTCCAGGAACCTTGCTGTCACTCCAGGCCCTCCCTGACCCCTCCCACACCATAAGATTCCCTCAGCACCACCCATTCACTTGTTTACCCGCTCGCTCCCTGACTCATTCATGCACCCACTCACTTCCTCTCCCCTTTTGCAGGTAGCAGCAACCCAACACTTGTATTTACAGGAGCCCCTGATGGAATGGCAGGTGTAGGAGGGCTTGGGAAGGGTTGATGGGAAAGCACAGAGTCTTCCGGGGCTGAGGTGGTCAGGGTGAGAATGGGTAGCGGCCCCGGACCTTTCTGACCCTGTCCACCCGTCCCTGGAGAGCTAGCGCCAAAGGGGAGCTGGAGGGGAGCCTCTGGGCCTTCCCAGTTCTATCCAGCCTGGAGGTGATTCTTCAGGGGGGGAGGGGAGGCTTGAGTGCAAGGGGGGGCAGGTCCTGAGCAGCACGAGGTCCCCCATGGACGGAAGGAAGGGCAGTGACACTTTCCCAGCACATGCACACACCTGCGCACACAGGCATGCACACACCTGCGCACACGGGTGTGCACACACCTGCGCACACACACATGCACACACACGCATGCACACACACGCCAGCTTACGTGCAGAGGCAGACAGGCCCATGGGCTCCACAGACACACGCACACAGACGTGGGATCACGCACAGAGTCTGTGATGCAATTCCCTTGCCTGACTCAGAGAAGGAGCCATGGATACAGACACTGGCCTCTCGCCAGCACAGAGACACAAACACATGCCTACATACTTCTCTTTGGCGCGTCATGCAAAAGACGAGAGAGAAGAGAGTTTAGTGGGTTAATAGTCCTCGGCTAGCTCCCAGGCCGGCGGGGGTGGGTGGGGCTGGGCTCAGTGGCTCCTGCTTCCCTGTCCTCTTCTATCTCCTCTGGGACTTTTCTTGGCAGGAACTTGGAGGGAGTGGGGGGCGGGCTAGTCTGTCACCTGGAAGCTCAGGGCAGGCTGTGACCTTCACCCAGCTACTCTTCCTTTCAAAATCCACCTTAAAATCTTCCACCGGGGCAGCCACGTGCTGTTCCTACGGGGCTCCGAGAACGAGGCTCCCGAGGGCCCGGGAGGGAGGTGCTGGGTGACAAAGGGCCTGCCAGGCAGGGAGGGAGGGAGGGCCTGGCCGAGGCTCTGTCCAAACCCCTGACCTCAGAAATGGCTTCTGCCTGTTCCCTGGGATGCCCACCCACCTGCAGCCCAGACTCCTGCTCTTTTCAGCGTGGGACACTCCTGCCCCTCTTCCCTCCCCGACAGCTCTAGCCACCAGGACGCCCGCTCCCGCGCCTCACTCTTGTCCAGCCTGTGAGTCTGGGTCCCAGGAAATCTAAGCTCCTCTGCTGCGGTTCTGCCCTCCCTCACCCGGGCCTGGCCTGAGCCTGCTCCTCCCCACCTCGCCTCCGGCGGGGCAGCAGGGCAGAAACACCGAGTAAGCGAGAAGGTTCCAGAGTGAGCACACACTCAGCGGTCGGCGAGTGGGAGGAGGAGGAGGAGAGGCTGGGTTTGTGAGAGGAAGCATGGCTGTGAGCACTGGGCCGGAAAGGAGAGGCCGTCCTATTGGTAGAGATGCAGCACCAGAGGCCCCAAAGCGGGCGGCTCCGTCAGAGGCCGCAGGACAGCGGGGTCCAGAGGGAGGGCCAGAGAGGAAGGGGTGCCCGGGGCGGCGCGGAGGGGGTTAGTCCGGCAGTGGGGCGCAGGCAGGTACTGTACCACACTCTTTCAGAGGCTCATCCGACCAGTCCCGGCAGTCCCTCTGAGAATCACACACTTTCCCGCCGTCCACGCACTCGCCACTCTTACACTGAAATCTGCGGGGACCCTCACATGTGGACTCTGTTGGGCCAGACAAGAGAGCGGACGGCTCCTGAGAGGCCTTCGGCAGGGAGGGCTGGGCTGGCCCCAGCGTCTCCGGAGGGAGGGTGGCCCGGGACAGACAGCTGGGTGAAGGGCTGGTGGGCGCTCTGCTCACAGGGCAGGACTCCCGGCTGGTCAGGATGCCCAGGCATCGGGTAGCTGGGCGGGGATGGGGGGGGTCTGTTCCTGATACTGCAGCCCCAGGGCCCAGGGAGGGGACAGTGTCAGCTCAGCAGGCCCCGGGGGCTGGACTGAGCATGTCCTGGGGGACCTGTGTCCAGCGGCCCTGGGTAGCGGAGGCTGCCTTACTGCCCTCTTCCCCAGGTGACCAGGAGGCCTCTACTCCTGCGGGGGGTGAGTGGTGCCCAGAAGGGCCATCTGAGGATGAAGGGGGCTCCCCGGGAGCAGGACAGCCTCCGCTCAGTCTGGGAACAAGGGCGGAAAGCCACGCGGAGACTCGGACCCGGACAAGCGGTGGGGGTGGGCTCCTGCAGCGCCCTTTCATGCCGTCCTTAACCATCTGGTCCCGGTGCCACCAGGACCGCAGGGAGGGGAGCAGGTGGTGCGGGGGCAGATAATGCTCCGGGGAAAGATGCTTCTTGGGGACGGAGGGGCGGCAGCTGCGAGCTCTGCTCTCCCCGCTGGAGCCGGGGAGGGGGGGGGGGCGGGGCGGGGGGGGGGGGGGGGTGAGCTCGGGGCCCCGGGGAGGGCGCCGCCCCTCAGCTCCGACCACACGCACCCTTCAGGCAGCCGGCTTCATCGCTCCCGTCCGGACAGTCCTGCTCCTGGTTGCAGCGCTTAGTGGCAGGGACACAGGCTCCGTCCCCACACCGGAACTCGTCTCCACGGCAGGTCCCCAGTGCTGCCGGGACAGGCCGAGGGACAGGGTCAGAGCCAGCGCGGTGCTGGGCCAGCTCCTCTCCCCCTCCCCTCCCCGTCTGCCCTCCCCCCTTCCTGTCCGCCCCTTCCCGTCCGCCCTCCCCTCCCCGTCCGCCCCTCCCCGCCCCCTCCGCCCCTCCCCCCTGTCCGCCCCTCCCCATCCGCCCCTCCCCCTCCATCCCTTCCCCCCTGTCTACCCCTCCCCCCACCCTGTCCACCTCTGGCCAGAACAGAACCAGTGGCTGAGCCTGGGGACCCCGAAGGACCCCCGACCAAGGCACTTCCGGTGTACAGACGGGAGACTGAAGCTCAGAGAGGGGAAGGCCGCACCCGGGGTCACACAGCACTCCGGTCGGCAGAGCCAGGACTAAAACTCAGGTCTCCTGCTTCTCCCTCTCCCGCCTCTCCCCGGGGCTGCCTCTCCAGCGGATACATGGCCTTCTTTCGGTTTTGGTGCTCATCTCTTAGTGACTTTACCCTTCAGCAAACCCTTTCTGAGCTCCCAGTGTGTGCCCTCGCCATACCAGGCATGAGCACCCTGAGACTGCTAAGAGCTTCCCCATCCTAGGCCAGTGTTTCCCAAAGTGCGGTGCGCGTACTCCCAGGGGCATGGGAAGAGTTTGGGGGGTGGGTACGCGTACCCCCAGGGGCACGGGAAGAGTTTGGGGGGTGGGTGCGCGTACCCCCAGGGGCACGGGAAGAGTTTGGGGGGTGGGTACGCGTACCCCCAGGGGCACGGGAAGAGTTTGGGGGGTGGGTGCGCGTACCCCCAGGGGCACGGGAAGAGTTTGGGGGGTGGGTACGCGTACCCCCAGGGGCACGGGAAGAGTTTGGTGGGGATATGCACTGCGCCGTGCTTAGCTGCGCCTAATTCTACGTTCTCATGAGTACGAGGGGTACTCAGCGTTACGAAAATTACAGAAGGGGTACACATCTGCCAAAAGTTTGGGAAACACTGCCTAGACCGAGGACCTTGAGGTGTGGCGTGTTAGAAGAGAAGGCAGCTGGGCGGCCTGCGGGAGGCCAGGGGAGAGCCCCGGCTCAGCTGGGAGGGTTCCGGGGCGCAGGCCCGGCAGGCAGCAGGGTGGCGGGGCTCCTGAGGGTACCCCCACTGCCTGGGACCCGAAAGGGCAGGGTGGGAGGTGCGATGCGGGGAAGGACACGGGCACCTGAAGACCCTGGACCTCGGGAGTTAGGCCTGAGCTCCTCAGGAGCCACGTGAGCTGGAGCTCGGGCGGGACCGGCGGGCAGGGCGCCGGGCCGGGGAGGAGGGCGCTTACGGCAGTCGGCCTCGTCGGACTGGTCCTTGCAGTCGCGGTCGCCGTCGCAGCGCCAGCCCCGGTGCACGCACTCGCCGCTGCGGCAGGCGAAGCGCGCGGGCCCGCAGGCGGCGGGCGCGGAGGCGGTGGCGCTCCCCGGGCCGCAGAGCTCGGCCGCCTCGTCCGAGCGGTCGGCGCAGTCGGGCTGGCGGTCGCAGAGCCAGCGCTCGGGGACGCAGGCGCCGCCGTCGCCGCAGCGGAACTCGCGGGGCCCGCAGGCCGGGCCGGCGCAGCCGCGCTCGTCGCTGCCGTCGCCGCAGTCGTCGTCGCCGTCGCACACGAACACGGCGGCCAGGCACGAGCGGTTGCGGCACTGGAACTCGTGCGGGGCGCACACTGCGCGGGACAGAGAGCCAGCCGGTCGGCCCGCCGAGCCCCGTCCCCGGAGCCCCGGTCGCCGGTCCCGCTGCGGGGCCGGAAGGAGCCCTGCCTGGGGCTGGAGGGTGGGCATCCCGCCGGAGCAGCCATGGGAGCTTCCCATCCGGGTACTTGCGCGGGACGGGGTGGGGAGCATCTTGGGAACTCAGCATCCCTCCCTGAGCCTCACTGCCGGCTGGATGGAGGCGCTAGGAAAGCCTCTACAGCTGCAGAGCGCCCCCTGCAGGCTCTGGGATGCTCCTGGGAAATGTATGTAAGCTGACCCTGACCTTGACCCTGACCCTTCCGGGGAGCTCAGCAGCTCAGGTTCCCCTCCCCCTCCCATGGCCCATATTGCACCATCTAAGCCTCCTGGCCTGGCACCCAAGGCCACGGGCACGGAGCCCCTGCCCTGTGCCATGACCTCCTTCACTCTAGCACACGCCCTGCTTTAATCATTGTTGGACCAGTGGTCGGCAGACTCATTCGTCAACAGCGCCAAATAGCAACAAGTACGACGACTGAAATTTCTTTTTGAGAGCCGCATTTTTTAAACTTAAACTATATAGGTAGTAGGGACATTGCTATTCACTCCATTAGGGTACGTGGAATTCTGTGGAAGAGCCACACTCAAGGGGCCAAAGAGCCGCATGTGGCTCGCGAGCCGAGGTTTGCCGACCCCTGTTAGACCATTTGCACACGTCCCACCTCTGGGCCTTGGCTCCAGCTATTGCAGCTGCTGGTATATACGTTGCTCACCACTGTCTCCACACTTCACAGTGGTGGGCTCTCCTCCCCCGAGGGCCCGAATGCCACCTCTTTCCAACACACTTCAAGCTCCCCTGCTCCGGAAGCCTCCCTCCTGCTCCCCTGTCGGTGCCTTTCACGGCGCGCTCAGGTGTCTGGCTCCCACATCCTCTCCATCGGCCCCAGGACCACGCCTTGCATGGCACTGGCTCCGAGATCAGCCCAGCGTGGGGCTGAGGGCCTGGCACAGGGCTCCCGCAGCGGGTGGGTGGGAGGGCTCATTTAGGGATGTGCGGTAGTTAAGGGCAAAGGTCACTGGCCCTGCCTGGGGTCCTGGGTTTTTCCTCTCTGGTGGGCTGCTCTGAGCCGGGAGGCTGGGAGGGCCTTAGAGATCACCAGCCCAACTTCCGGTTAACAGATGGGGACGCTAAGGCCCAGAGAGCAGAGCCTCGGGCCCCCCTGTCTGGTGACCAGGGGAACAGAACTCTGCTTTTCTCCCGGAGTGCAAGCTGTTGCCAGAGCAGCGACCTCCTCGCCTCCTTCCTTCCTCACACAGAGGCCAAGAACAAGCGTGGGGGCTGAGGTGGGGCTCGGTTGTGGCCGCAGGTAACGAGGTGGTAGCACCAGATTACTCCACATGGGGGCGCCAAGAGCCTGTTTTTCTGATGGAACACCCCCCCCCCCCCCCCCCCCCCCCCCCCCGCCCCATTGTTATTGACTATAAAATAGAACAATGCCTTCACTTTCACCGTGTAGGCAGCTCAAGCCACATCATGCCGCTGACAGTTCTGTCAGGTTTCTGACAGAAGCATTTTTCCCCCTTCTAGGCATTTGGGATGCTGGGGCTGTGGTGGGAAAAGCACAGATCACCACCCTGTGATGCCTGCCCCGTCAGATTAAGCTGATGCCTCGGTGAGCTGCGCTCCTTCCTGTCCGGACAGCGTGTACGTGTCCAGGGAGCGAGGACTCGCTCTGTTCAGAGTTCTGGGTGGGAGGACGCACTCCTCTGCGCCGAATTCTCTCCAGCGTTCTGAAGCCGACAGCCACTTCAAGGTCTGGATTCTCAGGCCTACGCCCAGAGACCCACTCACGGCATTCACAAACGGAAGAAACTTTGAGGGACTGGAACGGGGAGCCTTCTTTTTCCCTTTCCCAGGCCAGGAGCTGTAGCAGAGAAGCCCCCTGAAGCCATCTACCCCCCCTATCTGCTACGGTTAATAGAACTTTCCTGCTACAGCACGCCAGGCCTGCTTAGAGCTATTCCCACCGCTGCAATGGTGGCTGATGGCCTTTATGGCTGAGGAAGCACCCAGTTATGGGGGGTGAGGAGGAGAGAGGATTCTCATGGGCGGCGAGGTCCCACAAGGAAGCAAAGAGCCAGTGCTGTCACGGGGGCTGTGACACTGCTGGCCCCCGTCGGGATCTTCCCCCATCCCCAGATGCTTCCTGCCTCAGACACATCCGAACCCCACAAGTAGAATCTCAGAGAGTGGCGACTCAGAAGCCCCCAGAGGACAGGGCGTGTCCCCTGGGCCAGGAGGATGGATAAGATGCAAATACAGAGGCTGGTGTAGGGAGTGGGGTGGACAGAAGGCAGTGGTGGGCATGGCTAGGAAAAGCTCCCGAGTGACCGCCCAGCCTCACAGCCTGGTGGTCGACAGCCGGTCTGTCTCCCCATTAACCCTGAGTCCCCAGAGGGGGGACCGTGCAGGACTCGCCTCTGGTCCTTTCCGCAGCCTGGCTCAGGCCTTGCACACAGTAGGAGCCCATCAAATGGAAACCAGCGAGGCCCAGCCACGCTCCCCACGGGCCCAGGACCTGCGGGCCTGCCCGCCGGGATGGAGATAATCCTGTGTTTGAAGCTCAGTGAGGCGGAACTGACCCAGTGCCCACCTCCATCTGTCCCTGCCGAGGCCGCCGGCAATGGCTCCTGTGCCCTGTGACGTGGCGCTCGAATCTGAGGTGTCGGCAACAGTCCCTCACACCTCAGGAATCTGCCCTCCGCCCGCCCGGCCCCGCACACTGCCAGTGCCCCGGCCCAGGCCCCATCTGTTCTCCCTGTCCTTGCTCGGGGGGCCGGCAGAGACATGGAATGGATGAGCAAATGTCAGGCATGGTTAAAAAAACACACACACACACTCGTGGGCTTTGCTGCCCAGACCTGAATTTGAGTCTCCGTTCCATCCCTCAGCCTCGAGTACTTTTCCTCACTCGTCTGAGCCTCAGTTTCCTCAGCCACAAAATGGGAATGATCGTGACTGCTTGTGAGGTGGTCGTGAGGATGAAAGAAAGGAGTGTCTCCAAAGTGCCTGGCCATCCCTCGTGTCCTGGCCACCAGCCCTCCTCCCCCCGACCACGCCTCCGGGGGCTGCTCAGACCCCGGCGACCCCACCCCGACTCACAGGTGGCACAGCCGGCCTCGTCCGCCCCGCTCTCGCAGTCCTTCTCGCCGTCGCAGCGCCAGGAGGCGGGCACGCACTTGTGGCTGGTGGGTCCACAGCTCAGCTTCTCTGCGGGACACACCTGCTTGGCTGTGGGGACACACACATGTGCCTGGGTTGGCCAAGGAGGACACGGGGCTCCGTGCCAACCAGTTCCACTGCTTGGCCCCCGCCATCTGGCCCGAGGCCCTGGGAATCCAGCACAGCCTGCCTGCTTCGTGTGTCTGGTTTCTTCATCTGAGACGCCCGTCTGTCCCAAAGGCTTTCTGAATCCTGTATCTGACTCCACCACGGCCCTCCCCAATTCCGTTCCGTGCCCCCCTCGTCCCTGGCGCTCCAGCCCCCTGGATCTGGCCAACTCCTGCCTCCTCCGATGGTGGCCCCGCCTCCCCTCCGTCCAAACCTCCCCTTTAAGCTCCAGCCACACAGAGCTGCTGTGCCCTGATGTCTCTGCCGTTTCCCAGCTGTGTCCTCAGGCAAGACGCGCCCCATTTGGGTCTCAGTTTGCCTTCCAGATCAGTGATTCATTGGTCCAAACCTGTAGGGTTCACCAAGGCCTCCACTTCCCACTCCTGTCCCCTCTTACAATTCCCGCCCTCCGCCTCGCTCTCCCGGCCGTGGAGGGAGCCGCAGCTGAGAGCAGCCGCCTGTGGCAGGGCCCGGCGGGACCACACAGCTATAATTACTGCAGCTGCAATCAGAGTCTGCCTCAGCGAGGGGCCAGGAGCCCCAGGCTTGATTCTCAATTTGGAAGCAAGAACGAGAACCCCGGTCAGGGCCGGGGATGGCGTTCAGCCTGCATCTCGGGGTGACCCGTGGGGCAGACCCAGCCGAGGCAGACGCCGCTGAGACCTCGGCGGCTGGATCCTGAGCACAGTGGTCTCTGGCATGTGCCAGGCATCGCCTTCGCCTTCACAAAACCTCCGCCGGGGGAGGATTGTCCTGTGGCACAGACATCAAGGGCATGGGCTGTGGGAGCCTGGCTGCCGGGGTTCAAACCCAGCTCGGTTGCTCACTGGCTAGCTACCTTAGCCAGTCACCCTTACCTTATGCCATTAACGTGGGGGTAACACTGCTCCTCACCTCATAGGATGGTTGTGAGGGCTAAGCTCATGTCTGGGAAGAACCTAGGACTGGAACACCCAGCCCAGTCAGTGTGCATAGGTAACCGAGGAGGACTGGTTTATTCTCTCGGCCAGTATCTGCCGAGCACTGCTCTGCACCAGACGTGGCGGTAACCACACAGCTGGTGGAGCACGGAGCGAGCACTCAGAGTCAGCTGTGTCTGGTGCCTGCAGCCGGACAGTCCACTGCCCTGGAAAGCAGTGGTCACTGTTGCCTGACCCTCACTCTTCTCTCTGATCTCAGACTAGTTCGTGCTCTTCTTTTTTTTTAAATATATTTTATTGATTTTGTACAGAGAGGAAGAGAGAGGGACAGAGAGCCAGAAACATCGATGAGAGAGAGTCATCGATCAGCTGCCCCCTGCACACCCCCCACTGGGGATATGCCCGCAACCAAGGCACATGCCCTTGACCAGAATCGAACCTGGGTCCCTTCAGTCCCCAAGCCGACGCTCTATCCATTGAGCCAAACCGGTTTTGGCTAGTTCGTGCTCTTCCTTCCTTCCACAGCTGGGCTGAGAGGCCACAAGGGGTGGAGGAAAGGGCACAGACAAGATGGGGTATCTGAGTCCTGGCCTCCAAACACTGCTGTGCCGTGAGAGGGGAGTTCCTTGGCCCTAGGACTGCATTTCATGGAATGCAAGGCAACCCACCGGGAACACGGGATCCATGTTACAGAAATTTCCCTTAACAGTTAACTGTCGTGTGGGGCGGCCTTGGGGCTGCAGTGAGGGTGGTGAGGGGCCTGGGAGTTGGGAGAGGGCACTCTATCGCTAACACACTGTGGGCCTCAGTAAGCATGTCCCTTCGGGCCCATCTGAGCACGGAGCAGGGGCGCGCAGCACTTCCCGGAGTCCTGACTCAGGGTGAGGGGTGGCGGCTGTTGGAAATGCCCAGCCCATACGACTGAATCCAGGCTCCGAGGGCAGAGTCAGGAATCTGTACTTTAGCAAATCCCCCTCCCCAGTGATTCCCATGCAACGGCCCCCCTCCCCCGGTTACCATTCTTCAAGTTCAAAAGATACAGGCTATTTCATCTCCTTTAAATTCACTCCCAGAAAAATGACAGCGATGTTCAATTTGTTTGCAAGCCCGGAGAGAGCCCTGGGATGGAGGAACAAGGCGACCTGAGCCAGGCCTCAGGAAGCCACCTCCTGGGGGAGCAGGAAGGAAGCCATAGCCTCCGCACTGAGCTCGGCCTGCTCCACGCTGAGCATCTGACGCTCCCCATCTCCCTCTTCCCCTCCCCTGCCAGGGAAGCAGGCCCTGCAGGCTGCCAGCTAAACTCCAGGGGCACCATCCACAAAGATGGTCATGCCGCCCCGGAGTGGAGCAGGTAGTGGTCCCTCATCCTCTGTGCAGACGAGGAAACGGAGGCTCAGAGGGACCACGTCACGGCAAAAACGCACGGCGGCGAGACGCGGAGTCCTTCCCACCAAACCCACCGGCCCCTGCGGGCGGAGAGGTGGCTCAGAGCCCGCTCCAGGCGCCACCCAAGTCCCAGGTGGTGGACGGTGGGTCCCTGGACCACCGGCGCCCCCTCAGGGGCCTGGTCCTGCAGGCCCCAGCGCGGCAGGCCGCTGCTTGACCTTTCAGTGAATGTTTGTCCAGGCGATTGCATAACCTTTCGGCAAGGACAATGATTAAACAAACCGTCCGCGTCCTCTCTTTATAATTAATAAGTCATTTGCTGGGTCCCTAAATAGACAGCTCTAAGGATAGGCTCTCGAGGACGCGGCAGCGCCTGCCAGCAGCCCCCCTGCCCTCGGAGAGCCGAGGCGCCATGCCGGGATGCAGACCCCAGGGGTCCTGGCGGTCACAGGGAGGAGCAGCCGTCACGGCGGCAGGAGGCAGAGGTCCGAGTGGAAAAGGGGCCTGCCGAGGCTACGGGATGCTGGCTGTTCGGACGGCCGTCTCTCCCGGCCCCTCCCTGTCTCTGCTGGGATGTAGCTCTGCCCGGAAGCCAGGACCCGCACAGCACCGTGCTCTCGGGGCTCCCGGGCCAGGCCGCTCGCTGCAGGCCCTGGGAGGTGCGGTGTCTCCTTGTGAGGGGGTCCCGCCATCGCCTGCATCTTACGAGCGAGGAGAGCCAAGCCCGGCAGGGGGAGCCGCTTGCTCACAGTCTTGCAGCGAGGGGCAGAGCTGGACCTCCATCCCAGGACTCGCCTCCACACACACTGCCTGACGTTTGTGCACTTACATCGCCACGAGAGAAAAGCAGGCCCCGTGGGCCCCACCCCTGCCAGTCTCCCTGCACCCCAGGGATGGAGGGGGGACCGAAGGAAGGAGGCCCGAGGGGCCTCCGCGCGGGCGGGGTCTGCAAGATGGCAGGTGGCCGTCCGACGCCCACTTTCCGGAGGACCGGACCCAGAGGCCTCGGCAGCAGGAGGCAGGCAACAGATCCTGGGCCTTGGGGTTCCTTCAGCAACTCGCGTAACCTCTGCACTCCGGTTCCTCGTGTCTGAAAACGGGGTTACACCGTCTTCTAGGTTTGGTGGGTGGTTTAAATGGGGAGACACATGGAAATGCTTGCTCTCAGAACCTGCAAGGAACTCTAAGCTCAAAAGAGAATGGCCCAGCCGAAACCGGTTTGGCTCAGTGGATAGAGCGTTGGCCTGCAGACTGAAGGGTCTCAGGTTCGATTCCGGTCAAGGGCATGTACATTGGCTGCGGGCGCATCCCCTGGTGTGGGGTGTGCAGGAGGCAGCTGGTCGATGTCTCTCTCTCATCGATGTTTCTAGCTCTCTCTCTCTCTCCTCTCCCTTCCTCTCTGTAAAAAATCAATAATATATATATATATATATATTTTAAATGGCCCTTATTTTAGTTCATAAAAGGCAAATGCAAAGGGCTGGGAGGGCCCTGGCCTCACCCCTGAGCATGCACCCACCATGGCCCACCAGGTCAGCCCCCAGCCCCCAGCCCCCAACGCAGGTGTCTGTCTCTGTCTGTCTCTCTCAGACAGGTGCCTGAGGGAAGCCTTCAGCCTGCTGTTCACGTTTCCCCAGGTTCTGAACGGCAGGAGTGAGGAACCCGCCGTCTCAGACAGCGGGAATCCTGCACAGCTGGCGAGGGCCCAACTGCACGCTGGCGAGGCTGTAGGCATTGACGCATTCCCAGAGAATCTGCCCCAGAAATCCAAACCCATGGGTACCTTCTCTAATTCATAAGCTCACAAATTAATAAAAGGGGAAAGGTCTGCTGGATAAAAAAAAAATTGAAGTACTTGGCGGCTGCTCATTGAGCCAGCCCGTCTGTGTGTCGGGTCACGTGAGGCTCAAGGGCGGCCGCCCTCCACGTGGGGACCAGAGCTCAGGCCCGGGAACTGCCCGTGTCCGGCTGCCGCCTGTGCAGAAGGGGTGGTTGCAGCAGCTCCTTCACACGGGGCCAAAGCGCTAATTAGCATCGCCAGCGTTTATTATTACAGATGGGAAGGTGCTCTTGGCTAATCGGTGAGGCCTGCTTCCGGGTGGGAAGGTTCTAAGATTCATGCATAAAAACCTCATTTTCAATACGCAGCACCAAGAACTGCAACTCATTCACCTTGAACCAAACTCCCCTCTTCCCACCGCTCCCAGATGCCTGAAGGTGGGTCTGAGCCTTCCCCAATCACGTGAGCTATAATTAGAGCTGAAATGCTCCTTTCATTAGGCAAATGTCCCAGGCTTTCCCACTGGGACTCCTGGCTGTGTTTGACAGACAGAATCCAGAACCAGAGGAAAGAGCTGGGAGAAACCCCGATTGCAATGGAGCAATGCAGGGATGGGGGCTGTTCCCAGATTCCTTTCCCTTTCGATGTAACCCCCCTCACTTATACTGTTCTAAGATTTTAAACTGGGCTATGTGAAGAAGAGGGCCCCAAGTAAAAATCCTATATAAAACCCTACTATGCAAATTGACCAATGGGAGAATGACTGGTTGCTATGACATGCCCTGGCCACCAGGGGGCAGACATTCAATGCAGGAGCTGCTCCCTGGTGGTCAGTGGGCTCCCACAAGCCAGCTCAGGCTAAGGAGCAGCAAGCCCAGCTTCTGGCTAGTGAGTGCAAGGTCGATGGTGGGGAGTGGGCCTAAGCTGCAGGCAGACATCCCCCGAGGGGTCCCAAACAGAGAGGGTGCAGGCCAGGCTGAGGGGGCGCCCCCCAGTGCACAAATGTCACGCACCGGGCCTCTGGTATAATAATAAAGGTATCACTGCCATTACTGCAGCACTGACACTGTCTGCAGTTTTCCATTTGATTCTCACATCCCCTGTAAGGCAGATACCATTGCCCCCATTTTAAAGATGAATAAGCTGAGGCCCAGGGAGACTGGTTTGCCCGAGGCCTCACAGGTTAGAGGACCTGAACCCAAATATATCAAACACCATACCCACCATGCTTGACTACTGCCTACAATCTTTCTTTGGGGGCGGGGGAGGGGGCTGAATCCAGGGAGCTGGCACAATCCCCAGAAACCTGGTAGGCTGTGAAGGTTGCTATGACAACACCAATTCAATGGGCAGGATTGGCTGTGGGGTTCTCGTTCAGTCAGGAAGCCTGCTACCAGGTCCCCCCATGCTGCCTGACCCTCGAGGTCCCTCCTGGCTCACCTCCTCCAGGCAGTCCTCCCTGCCCATGGGCCTTGTCCACCTCTGACCATGTCCAACTCTACAACTGAAAGTGGGGCCTGGGGCTTGTGCCCCAGCTGGGCACAGGCCAGGGAGAAAGAGTCGCTCAGAATCCTGAGTCCAGGAACCTTGGGATCGTGGTCTTTGGAATTCTGGGATGTTAGAAACCAGGGCCCACAGAGGACCTCACAGTAACCACTGGGAGGACCCAGAGAGCTGGGCTCCTCCCTCCCTGGGTGCAGCCTTGGCTGTGCTCCCATGGGTGCTCTCTCCAGCCTCAGGGAGCCTGTGGAGCCTGTGGTCCCCGGAGGCAGACCAGCCAGGACACCTGAGTGTCGGGAATTCAGCAAGGCCCTCCACTGCTCTGGGCCCAGTGACAGTGCCGCAGAGCTGGGTGCGAAGCAGGCGCGGGGTGGGAAGTGCTAAATGGGCAAAAGGGACACAGACAGGGAAACGGGCTGGGCAGGCCAGGGAGGGGCGGGCAGTGCGGGGAGGCAGCCCCAGAGAGCAGGGTGGGGGTGGGCAGGGCCCTGGCGGCAGGAGGGAGATGGAAAGGGACACCACACAGAGGGTCCCCAATAACGCTGATGCAGCTCCCCCACTCTCTTTCTGCCCAGCGTCCAGGCTGGCGTGAGGGCTGGCTGGCCCAGCAGGCTGACTGCAGGGGTGGAAACGCCCCCTGTGGCCACAGCCTCCTCCCCAAACGCACGCCACGCTCCGGGCTGCGGGCTGCGCTGGCTGCTGGCATGCATGGCTCTGCCCCTTGTTAGCTGGGCAGCCTATTTGCTTCTCTCTGAACGGGATCCATCCCACCCCCTTTCCCAGGCTGTCCTGAGGATGAGAGTCACAGTGGGTGTGGCTGGGCTTTGTTCCTTTTGAAGCTCAAGACAATGAGGCGGCTGCCCACCCCCAGGCACCCCCAGGGCAGCGCTGGGGGGCGGGGGGAGTCAACTACCTGCTGGGTGAGGAAAGGACCCCGCTGGGGCAATGCAGGGGAGGCAGGGGCAAAGGGGAAGGGAGCGAGGGGGCCCTGTCTGAGATTGGGTTGCTCTTGCTCTCACTCTCTCTCTCCCTTTCTCTTTCTCTCACTCTGAGACTGGTAGCTCTGTTGCTAGGAGACAAGGAAACCCAGTTATCACTAGCTCAGCCCTCGATGGGACTAGATGGGACGCTGGCCTCCATTGTCCCTGCCTCTGCCTCTGGGACAACTGTGACCCCTAACAGGACGTGGGGCTGTGCTCGCCCCCAGCCCCACATCCTCCACATGTTTAACCGCCCCCCCCTGCCCGCCCCACATCCTCCACATGTTTAACCGCCCCCCCCCCCCGCCCCCTCACCTTTTGTCTCGGGCTCACTCACTCGGGTGAAGCTCAGCCTCCAGGACCCCTGGGTCCTTCCCGCCCCCTTCCCGTCTCCCTTTTTAATTTAACAAATGTCACAGGATGACCTGCCTGGTGTACGTTTGCTTTGAGGATTAGAGCCTGGGAAGTAAATCGCGGAGAGACAAAGCCCCGAGTGTGGGGCAGGCCGGGGGCTCAGCCCTGCCTCCCACTCACCCTGCCGCCTGGGCTGCCGCCAGCCTGCCGTGGAGGCGGGGCCCGGGCAGAGCTGCCCGGGGCAGGGGAAAGAACCGAGGCCTCCAAGCCCTGGCTGGGGAGCCTTCGGCAAGCCACTCAACCTCTCTGAGCCTCGGGGTCCTCTGTTGTTGTTTTTTTTTTTAATTTAAAAATATATATATTTTATTGATTTTTTACAGAGAGGAAGAGATAGGGATAAAGAGTTAGAAACACAGATGAGAGAGAATCATCCATCAGCTGCCTCTTGCACACTCCCCACTGGGGATGTGCCCGCAACCAAGGTACATGCCCTTGACTGGAATCGAACCCAGGACCCTTCAGTCCACAGGCCAACGCTCTATCCACTGAGCCAAACCGGTTTCGGCCGGTGTCCTCCTTTGTAACCTTCAGAAAGTGACAGCCCCTGCCTCGCGAGGCTGCTGTGGGGGGATAAGAAGAATTAATGTATGCAAAGAGCTTAGCACAGTGCCTGGCACACAGTACGTGCTCCATAAGCACCAGCGGTCATTGGTGTTATTAGAACTATGACTAGAGTCCTCAAAGAAGTAGTGGGGGAGGCAGGGGGCAGGGGGGGCCTGGAGGATGTGTTATGGCAACTTCTGGGCAGAAAGCTCAAAGGTAAGGTGAGCAGGCGTCCCGCTTTTTCAATGTGTTGAAAATCGGGACTGTCCCGCCAAAAGCGGGACGCCTGCTCACCTTACTCAAAGGGGCTCTCTTGAAAGCGCCTGGCACTGCAGTGAAGACAGCCCCAGAGCAGGATGCCGGACACCAGCTACCAGATCCACCTGCTGTCTGCCAGGAGCCCCTGCGGGCACAGTACCAGTGAGTCCGGGGCTGTGTTGGACAGATCACCTCATGTGAGCCTCCCAACCCCCCAACAAGGAAGCTCTGAGGAAACCGAAGCCCAAGACCCCCCAGCCCCCCCAGCCCGAGGGGCAGGACTCACGGCAGTTGGCGGGGAACTCATCGGAGCCGTCGGAACACTCCTCTTCGCCGTCACACTTCCACCGCTCGGGGATGCAGTGGCCGTTGTCACAGGTGAAGTCGGTGTCCATGCACGTCTTCTTGGCTGTGGGGCGAGGAGGAGAGCGTGAGGGGCCTGCTGGGCCCAGGGAGCTTTTTTTAAAATATATTTTTATTGATTTTTTTTACAGAGAGGGAGAGAGAGGGATAGAGAGTTAGAAACATCTCTATGAGAGAGAAACATCGATCAGCTGCCTCTTGCACACCCCTTACTGGGGATGTGCCCGCAACCAAGGTACATGCCCTTGACCGGAATCGATCCTGTGACCTTTCAGTCCGCAGGCCGACGCTCTATCCACTGAGCCAAACCGGTTTTGGCAGGAAGCTTTTTTAGGACCAGCGACTGTGGGGCGACCAGAATGCTCTGGGCCACATGCCCTCCCACGGCCCCTACGTCACAGGGAGCCCCATGGACGAGGGGGGAGAACAGGAGGGAGAGGCTTTTATGGAGCACCAGATGGGGACAGGGGACACCTGTCCTGCCCTCCATATTCGGAGCCAAGTCCAACAAGTGAGACAAGGTCCACCCACCGGGGCCTGCCCGTTCCCTTATCACTCCTCTCGCTTCCCCCGAAGTCTGGTTCCACTGGCACAGCCTCCAGGAAGTCCTCCCTGACCACCTGGTGCAGAGGCGTCAGCCCCTCCTGCCGGTTCTCAGTCCCTTTACCCACCAGACCAAAGGCACGGCCTCTTCTGTGAGCACAGAAAGCTGGCGATAGTAACTCAAAGGCGAATGATTGTCTTATGACAAGGTTAATGAGATACCCTCTGTTCAGAGTGGGGGGAAGAGGATCTACTGGGAAAGACACCCAAGTCAGTCTCTGTCCCCGGGGTGCTTCCAGTCTGGGGGTCAGGGGAGGCCTCCACACGGGGGGTTTGAATCCCAGCTCTGCCTCTGATCTGTCTGACATTAGGGTTGTTAACCTCTGAGCCTCTGTTTTCTTATCTTATAACTAGTGGCTGGTGAAAACCATGCACTCAGGGGGTGTGTGTGGGGGGTTCCTTAGCCCAGCCTGTGCCCTCTTGCAGTCCAGGAGCCCTTGGGGGATATCCAACTGCCACAGAGGCAGGAAAGGCTCCCGCCACCGGGGCTGTGCTGGGGGCGGGGCAGGGGGGCAGTTCCTGCATTGAGCATCTTCCCCCTGGTGGTCATTCTGAAGTTCGGTCAATTTGCATATTAGGCTTTTATTATATAGGATGGGAAGAAGGAAGCAAAGGGCTCTGAAGAAGAAAGCAAGTTGTAAAGTATGAGGAACACGCAGCAGAGATCCTGGCACACAGCAGATGCTCGGTAAGTAGCAGCTAGCTATTGCTGTTTTCACGGTCTGAAGTCTTAATTAGAAGCAAAGGAAATGGGGTGTCTGTGGCCTCGTGGGGGATGAGGTAGCAGGCTGAGCTCTCCCAGCTGGAGCAGAACTGGGACAGGAACACGGGTCCACAGGGTGCCCTTCTCCCTGTCCCTTCGCTGGCCTGGTGCTCCCGTGTGGGAGCCGGGTCACGTGCAGCACGGGGCCTGGCGGGCAGCTCTCGGTGGGGGCTCGAGCCCCCGGGGGAGCACAGCTGCCCGGCCTCTGCTCGCACGTCCTGGCCCGGGCTCCCCTCCCCCCAGAAGCTCCTTCCAGTGGCCGGCCTTGGATTGTGTCCATCCTCCCGCAGCCCCCTGGCTGCCTCTGGAGCAACAGGACTGCGTTTCCTGAGTCCATCCTATTCCTGCCTCTCTCTTCTTTCTTTTTTTAAAATATACATTTTTATTTATTCCAGAGAGGAAGAGAGAGGGAGAGAGAGAGAGAGATAGAAACATCAATGATTAGAGAGAATCATTGATCAGCTACCTCCTACACGCCCCCTACTGGGGATCAAGCCCACAACCCAGGCATGTTTTTTTAAATATATTTTATTGATTTTTTTACAGAGAGGAAGAGAGAGGGATAGAGAGTTAGAAACTTCGGTGACAGAGAATCATCTACCAGCTGCCTCTTGCACACACCCCACTGGGGATGTGCCGGCAACCAAGGTATATGCCCTTGATTGGAATCAAACCTGGGACATTTCAGTCCGCAGGGCAACGCTCTATCCACTGAGCCAAACTGGTTTCGGCAACCCAGGCATGTTTGATCCTGATCTCCTGGTTCACAGGTTGACACTCAAACACTGAGCCATACCGGCTGGGCCTGCCTCTCTTTTCAGTGGAATCCTTGCAGTATATCTGCATCCTAGGATGCTTTCTTCACACTTTCCTCAGAATGCCCTTGTGCAGGGCGAGAAGAAACCGGAGGAATCAGAACCCACCTCCAGCTGGGGAGCCTGAGGCTCAGAGAGGGGCGGGTCAGCCCAGGGAAACAGCAAGGCCGGGACCAGAGCCAGCCGTCCTGACTGCAGGCCAGCAGCTGAGCAGCCCCCCTGAGCCCGGCACCTCGGGGCGGGGTAGTCACAGACATCAGTACCACCGTTAGGTGAGTCAGGCCCACAGTCAGTTTGGCTCAGCAGATAGAGCGTCCCCTGAGAGTAAGGACAGGGACGAGCCCCAGCACCGGGCAGTTCCCAGCAGGGCCAGCAGGGAGTTTTCTCCACCAGAAGCTCAGCATCCAAAAGAGAAACACTGCCGTCCTACATTCCCCGAGTGTGCCCTGCATGCCAGTCTCCGTGCACGGCCCTTTTCCGGGAAAACCCCACAAGGGGCCCATTTGTCCCGAGTGACACATGGGAAGACCCAGGGCTGTTAAGCCACACGCCCAAGGTCACATATGGGCGAAAGCAGGGTCACGATTCGACCTCACAGTCCGAGGCCCTGGTAGCTGCTGTCAATTTTTAAAAATAGATATATTTTATTGATTTTTACAGAGAGGAAGAGAGAGGGATAGAGAGCCAGAAACATCAATGAGAACCATCGACCAGCTGCCTCCTGCACACCCCGCACTGGGGATGTGCCAGCAACCATGGGACATATCCTTAACTGGAATCAAACCTGGGACCCTTCAGTCCGCAGGCCGACGCTCTATCCATTGAGCCAAACCCATTTCGGCTGTCACACCCATTTTACACAGGGGGAAGTTGAGGCTCAAAGAGGGGAGGGTGGTGGTGACAGACGTGGGGTTTCAATTCCATGTGGCAGCTGCCAAAGCTCAGGCTCCCTCCACTGAGGCCCTCCGCCGTCTCGGCATGCCAGGAGGAGAGTGAGGACTCGGAGCGGCAGGTGCAGTGTGCCTGGGTTCCAGGAGCCACCGGTCCCGGCACATCAACCCAGCCCGGAGGTGCCTGCATGACGCGTTCTCCTGGGCTGTGCCCATAAGTGTGAGCAGCATGAACCTGGGCTTAGGTCCACACGTGCTCTGCTCATGGGCTGTCCTGGGGAAACGGGGGCAGGCAGCATGCCGTGTTAGGTCGGGACTAGACTAACCCACCTCGATGGGCCCTGACGTGTAACAACGTGGAGGGATTTGGGGTCAGAGCGGAGACTGAGTCCGGGCACGGCCGCTTCCTCCCAGTCCCTCCCCTCTCTGGGCAGGTGGGGCCGGCGGCTTCCCAGGCAGCACGGACACAGAAAAGGCAAAAGGCTCCCCCGGAGGACAGAGCCAGCGCCCGGGGCCGGTGGTTCAGGGACTTGAGCCCGAACAGTCAAGAGGCTGCATCGGCACTGCCAGGCCATGAGGGCCGGGCAGCCTTCCGAGGCTGTCGGACAAGCCAGGCCAGCCCCCCTGACCGCCCCTCTTGGCGGAGGCAGCCTTGGCTCCGGCTCCCGGGGTGATTCCCCAGCTGGGCGGGAGGCCGTGGCTCCTGTTTCCAGGGATTCATGTCCCTCCATGCCCGTCGCCCCTTGGACAATGCCCACCTCTGTGAGGCCCTGTGCTCCGCGGCCCAGGAGCCATATGTAATCATCCAGGGTCTGCGACATCATAATCTGGCGCCATGGCAACAGAGGAGCTGCCACAAAGGGCTTGGGATTCCACGGGCCAAGGGGGAGAGGACGGGAAATCCAGGACAAAGGAAGTGGGAATGGCGATTTATTACAAGGAAACTGGCCAAGGAGAGTGTCAGGCAGTCCACGGCCAGACGAACTCTGTTCTGCCCGCTGTGGGCTGCGCGACCTTTTGCAAGTTATAGAACCTCTCTGAGCCTCTGCTCTCTTTCTTTTTAAAAATATGTTATTTCATGCCAAAACCGGTTTGGCTCAGTGGATAGAGCGTTGGCCTGCGGACTGAAAGGTCCCGGGTTCGATTCCGGTCAAGGGCACATCCCCAGTGGGGGATATGCAAGAGGCAGCTGATATCTCTCTCTCATCGACGTTTCTAACTCTCTATCCCTCTCAATTCCTCTCTGTGTAAAATCAATAAAATATATTTAAAAAAACAAAAATAAACAACAACAAAAAACACTTTAAAAAAATGTTATTTCAGAGAGGAAGGGAGAGGGGGAGAGAGAGATAGAAGCATCAATGATGAGAGAGAATCACTGATCGGCTGCCTCCTTTACTCCCCCTCACTGGGAATTAAGCCTGAAACTCAGGCATGTTCCCTTGACCGGAATCGAACCCAGGACTTTTAGTCTACAGGCTGATGCCGTCCATGGAGCCAAACCTGCGAGGGCTAAGCCTCGCTTTCTTCATCTGCATTCAGGGATAATATCCCTGCTTCCCCACACAGGCTTGCTGGTGAACGGGCTAAGGATGGTGCCAGTGCATAAACGGAAAAGCATGAAGGCGCCATTGGGCCCCTCAGCCACAGGAGGGCCTGTGGGAATGGAGGTGTGGTGCCGACGGCATCTCCGGCCCTCTCTGTGCCCAGAGTCCATGATCTTGTGAAATGATGATGGTCACTCAGCACCTGCCAGCTTCCCCGCCCCCAGAGCCCCCCCCCCCCCCCCCCCCCGGCACAATACACGTCATTTCACGCTGTCATTCCCCGCCCACGCTCATCCCACCGCCCCGGTGCATCCAGGGGCTTCGGGACAAAGATTAGCCCGGGCTGCCAGGCGGAACCGCTTGGGGTGGCTTCCTCTTGGCAGTCCCAGTGCTCTGTCCCGTCAGAGCCTCGGAGGCCTGGATGGGAT